CACATCAACAAAATTAAAGACAAAAATAACACATTAATCTAAAAAGATGCAGAAAAGACATCTGATGAAATGCAGCATACCTTCATAATAAAAACTCTTAACAGGTTAGGTATAGAATAATGTACCTCAACATAATAACGGCTATGGATAACAAGTCAACAGCTAACATCGTGCTAAATGGGGAAAAGCTGAAGGCTTTCTCTCTAATATCTGAAGAAGACAAGGATGCCCATCGCCACCACTTTTATTCAACTTAGTACTGGAAGTCCTAGTCAGAGTGAATGGGCATGAAAGAGAAACCAAAGGTATCCACATTGGAGAGGAAGAACTGTCAAATTGTCACTATTGCAGATAACATAACTTATACATAGAAAATCTCAAAGCCCCATCAAAAAACTACTACAGTTAAGAATAAATTGAGAAAAGTCCCAAGATACAAACATCAAAATACAAAAATCCATGGTGCTATTATACCCACTAGCAAATTATCTGGAAAAGAAAATTTTTAAAAATCTTATTTCAAATAGCTACAAAACAAAAATATCTGGGAATAACCTTAACCAGACTTTTAAAAACAAGGTGAAAAGGGCCAGTGCTGTGGCGTAGCAGGTAAAGCCGCTGCCTGTGAAGCCAGAATCCCAAATGGGCACCAGTTCAAGTCCCAGCTGCTCCACTTCTGATCCAGCTCTCTGCTATGGCCTGGGAAAGCAGTAGAAGATGGCCCAAGTCTTTGGGCCCCTGCACCCATGTGGGAGACTTGGAAGAAGCACCTGGATCCTGGCTCCTGGCTCCTGGATTGGTGCAGCTCTGGCCATCGCGGCTAACTGGGGAGTAAACCAGCAAATGGAAGACCTTTCTCTCTCTCTCTCTCTCCCTCCCCGACCCCCTGCCTCTCTCTCTGTCTCTTCTTTCTCTGTGTAATTCTGACTTTCAAGCGAATAAATAAATCTTTTTTTAAAAAAAAGGTTACAAATCTCTACAATGAAAACTATAAAACACTCATGAAAGAAACTCAGGGGGGACACCAAGAAATACAAAGACATTCTGCAATCATGGATTGGAATAGTCAATAGAGTTAAAATGGCCATATTATCCAAAGTCAAATACAGAGTCATTGCAACTCCTATCAAAATAATAATGATATTTTTCGCACAACTAGGGAAGAAAATCCTAAACCACACACACACACACACACACACACACACACAAACACCTGAATAGCCAAAGCAATCTTTAGCAAAAAGAGCAAAGCAGGAGGCATAACACTACGTGACTTTAAAATGTATTACAAAGTTATAATAAGTAAAACAGTATATTGGCATAAAAACAGATACATATACCAACAAAACAGAATAGAAAGCTTAGAAGCAACCCCACACATTTACAGTCAACTCTTCTCTGACAAAGGAGAAGAACAGACTTTTCAACATGTAGTGCTGGAAAAACTGGATATGCACATGCAGATGAACAAAACCAGAGTCCTGTCCCTTACCATATACAAAAATTCAACTCAAAATTGATTGAAGACCTGAAGATAAAACCTGAAATTATGAACTACTAGAATAAAACACAGAGGGAATGCTTCAGGACACTGAAATGGGCAAGAATTTACTGGCTCAGATCCCAAATGGGGGAAAAAAAGCAAAAATAGATAAATAGGATTTCATGAGACTAAAAGCTTCTGTGCAGCAAAGGAAACAATCAGCAGAGTGAAGAGACAACGTATAGAATGGGAGGAGACATTTGCAAGTTAAACATCTGGCAGAGTTAATAATATGTAAAGAATTCAGTTCAAAGACAAAAAAACTAATTTAAAAATGAGCTGGGGCCACCGTTGTAGTGTAGAGGGTAAAGCCTCTGCCTGCGATGCCTCTATCCCATACAGGTACCGGTTTGTGTCCAGCTGCTCCACTTCCGATTCAACTCCTTGTTAATGGCCTGAGAAAAGCAACTGAAAATGGCTCAAGTGTTTGGGGTCCTGATGCCCATGTAGGAGATCCAGAGGAAACTCCTAGCTCCTGGCTTTGGCATGGCCCAGCCCTGGCCATTGTAGCCATCTGGGAAGTGAACCAGAGGATGCAAGATCTCTGTCTCCCTGTCCTCTGTCTCTCCCTCTCTCCCTGTAACTCTGATTTTCAAATAAAAAAATAAAATTTTTTAAAATGGGTGATAGATCTAAGCATTTTTTCAAAGAAAGGCATGCATATGGCCACAAGTGCATGAAAAAATGTTTAGTATCACTGATCATCAGAAAAATACAAACCAAAACCAAAATGAGCATTTCACTTATTGAATGGCTAAGACCAACAAGACGAAAGGTAACACGCCCTAGTAAGAATGTGGAGGAAAGGGAATCCTTGCACACTGCTGGTGGGAATGCAAATTATCACAGCCATTCTGGAAAACAATATAGAGTTTCTTCAAAATAGAACTACCTTATGATCCAGCAACCCACCACTGAGTGGATGCACAAGGGACACGAACTCACTCTGGCAAGAATCACCCTGATCCAAAGAAATTCTGCATTCCCATGTGTATTGCAGCACTCTTCACAACAGCCAGGAATGGAAACAACCTGAGTACACATCATCTGACGAATGGATAAAGACAATGGGGCACACGTATACACAGTGGGAAACTATGCAGCCACTATGCAATCCTCTTATTTGCAATAATATGAATAGAATTGTAGGACATTCTGTTAAGTGAACTAAGCCAAGCACAGACAAGTACTGTATGATCTCACCCATGTATGCAATCTAAAAAAGTTGACCGCATGAAGTTGAGAGTAGAAAGGTGGTTACCAGAGGCTGGGGAGAGTAGAGGGAAGGAGGGTGGGGAAAGGTTGATTACTGGGTACTAAGTTATATTAGATAGGACAAAGAAGCTCAGGTGTTCCATTGCACAATCTGGTGATTTTAGGTAATGATAATGTCATGTGTGCATGTGTGTATGTGTATACATATATATTTAAAAGGCAGAATTTTCCCTTTAAAGGTATTATTATTTCAAATTTTACATATCTTAAAAGGAAAGCTAGAATATCCATCACAAATAAATGATAAATCTTTGATGAGACAGATATGCTTACTCTGATTTGAACGTGACATAATGTATTCATACATCAAAACATCACATGGTACCCCACAATATGTATAATTTGTATATATCAGTCAGAAATTAAAAAAACAACTTCAACAATAAGAAATCAATAGCTTGACTGAACAATGGAGCAGACACTTCACCAAAGAAGACAAACAGGTGGCAAGTAGGCACATGAAAAGATGTATAACACCACATGCTTAGAGAATGATAATGAAATACCACAACACACCTATTAGAATGATTACAATCCAATACACTGAAAACACCAAATGCAGGTAAGATGTAGAGTAAGAAGAATGCTCAATATTGGTGGTGGGCATACAAAATGATACAGCCACTGTGGAAGACACTTTGACAGTTTCTTATAAAATTAAATATACTTTTACCACATGATCCAGCAATCACGCTCCTTGGCATTTACCCAAGTGAACTGAAAACTGAGGTCCACACAACCCCCTGCATGTATAGGTTTATAGCATCTTTATTCATAATTGCCCCAAAACTTGGAAGCAAACAAAATGTCCTTTAGTGGGTGAGTGGATCAATAAAATATGTTGCATCCAGAAAATGAAGTATTATTCAGCACTAAAAATAATGAGCTTTTAAGCCATGAGGATATATGGAAGACCTAAATGCATATTACCAAGGGAAAGAGGCAATCTATAAATCTACATACTATGTGATTCCCACTATATAATACTCTGGAAAAGGCAAAACTGTAGAAACACTAAAAAAATCAGTGGTTGCCAAGGTTAGGGGCATGAATATGTAGAACACAGAGGGATGTTAGGGCAGTGAATCAATTCTGTAAAATACTCAATGGTAGATGCATGGCATTACACATTTGTTAAAATACAAGAGGGAACCCTAATGTAAACTCTGAACTTGGTGTGAAATGATGTGTCAGCGCAGGCTCACTGATGGAAGTGGTGCAAATGTACCACTTTGGTGCTGATGTTGATAGTGGAGGAGGGTGTGTAGGAAGCATGGGGACTCTCTTTACTTTCTGCCCAATTTCTGCCCAATTCTCTCCCTACTATACAGCCTCCACCAAAACCAGACTGTCCGGAACTCCTGGTAACAGAATTGTTTATACTGAGAAGGTTGGCAAGGCACCAAAATCTGCATGTGGCATGTGCCCAGGCAGACGTCGAGGGGTTTGTGCTGTGAGATCGAAAGCTCTGATGAGGTGGTCTAAAATGAAAAACCTGTCAGCAAGGCCCATGGGAGTTCCACGTGTGCTAAATGTGTCCATGACAGGATCAAGCGTGCTTTCCTTATCAAGGAGCAGAAAATCGTTGTGAAAGTGTTGAAGGCACAAGCAAAGAGTTAGAAAGCTAAATTAAAAAAAAAAAAATTTTTTTTTGAGTAATTAAAAACAAAACCTAAAACTACTCTCAAGAATAAAATTGATTAATTTTAAAAAGGGAAATAAGTTAAATATAATCATGCCTATGATCCATGGGATCAGATGGCAATAAACTGCCGACCAATTACACACAGACACTAGGAAAGTGCGCACTTGAAAAAGCACAGCGGGTCAGGATTCTTTAAATTATGTACGGACATTATGGCCTCATTGGTAATTCTTTGTACCCTTTCTTACTTTGCCTTTTCCTTTTAGATTCATCAGTTTCACTTCACTCCTTTCTTAGCATGACCCTTTTAGCGTATAAAATATAAATTGCTAACAGTGCTCTGCCACTTAATATTTATCAGACCATTCATGAAAATGAATGCTTCTACTTAGCCAATCAATAGACATCTGCATGTCATGTTGAAAATTCATCCTCTAAAAGGGTAGAACTATGACTGAAAGAAATATACTCTCATTGGACTTCACACACAGGCTCAGATCAATTTGCATGTAGAATGAAAGCCAGCCTGTATCTCACCTGACTTATGGAGGCTGATGGATCGCAGATTGGGAAACAACCTGGCTAATGAATCATCAGGCTCCTCAATAGCATTCAGATGATTGTTGGCCAGGACAAGGGTATCCAGTGAAGGAAACATAACTCCTAGCTTCCGTATTTCAGTCCAATCTTGGAGGTTATTGTCTGTTATATGTAGTAGCTTAAGAGAATGACAGCAAATAGAAGGACAAGACACTGTTTCATAGTCATTAAGGCACAGGAAGAGCTCCTCCAAACTGCAGAGAAAAAAAGGAAATATTTCATTGTTAAAGCAGTTTTACACTCATTTTCATTCAGTTAGTAAATATATAAATGCCTACCATACACAAAGTAACTCAAGATAGCAGGGAAGAGAAAACCTACACTACATAAGAGAGCAGAGAATGATATAAGCTTGTACTAAATTAATTTTGTGCTTAAATGATTAAGTACTAAAGTAAGTGGTAATAACTGAAAGTAATAGTAGTTAACATAGCAATGAAATTGAAATTTCAGTCAGAAGGATTCATGGCCTGAAGGAGGGGGTGGACTTGTACATATTGAGAGAAGATAGAAGAAAATTCTATAAACAAAATGAACAAATGTTTAGAAATAATAACTAACATTTAATGAGTTTCTACCCTATGTCATGCCCTTTGCCATACATTATAGATTTTACTTCTCTTTCTGCCAGGTAAATACAATTAGGCCCATTTTATAGAAAAGGAAAGCTGTTGAGCTCAACTGTTAGGTCACTCATCATAGATCATATGGTAGATAGTGGGACTGAAATTTTAAATCTCATTCTACCAGGATGGATTTTGCATGCAGTGAGGAAACCAATTTCATTAGAGTGAGAGTGAGAACTAATGATGGAGTAAGACAGGATTCTGAAGGGCTTTGATAATTTTTTCAATATTTAGGCAAACTACAGCTTCACATATTTCTTTAAACTACAAAAAAGAGATATAAACAAAACATGATAAAAGGTTTCCAAACTGATCAAAAAAGGTATAATTTCTTTTTTTTATTATTGAAAAGAATACTAAGTCCTATTTTCCATCAGACCAGCTAGGTATTTAAACATCTAAATGCTAACATATTTCAGAGATATTATGATCTTCCTTCCAAAGGCCAGAGGCAGAATTCTTACATCGGGTAATCAGAAGATTAAAACAGAGAAAGACTAGTTGACCTAGAAGTGTTAAGTGCTTCTCAGGGGTATTTTCTAGCCAAAGGATGACATATCCTATGTCTTGGCGCTACTCAGCACCGAACAAGGATTCCATTGGAAGTGCTACTACATTACCCTCCTACCCTCATTCTCATTGCTTCATTTTTCTAGCCTCTTTCTCCACACAATCTGTAGTTCTAGTATTTCTGAGATGGGAGATCAGCAGTAATTCTACATATGAACACAGGTGGCAACATAGCTCCCTCCTGACCCTGCTCCCTGGACTTACTCTGGTAACTCCTGCAGTATCGTGTGGACTGTCTCCCATGAAGCTTTGATGTTGTTGAGGACAAGTTTGCGAACCCCAGAGAAGGACCCAGCACATGTTCTTTCTAAAACCGACAAATTCAGAGGGTTGGAACTCAGGTTTAGAAACTCCAACTGGGGAACATTTGATACAATTTTACTGACCTATGGGGGAAAAAAAAAAGAAAAGCATATCAGGTAGTAATCAGAGCTTTTAAATAGCAATCATGTTCAAGAAAGCCTAAGTGAGTGTGCCTCCAGGCAAAGGACATTTACCTCAGGGAGTCCTACTTAGCAATGGTGCCCACAGAAGGGACAGGTGATTTCAACAACTCTTGGTAAATAATTTATCTCCTTCTATGAAACAGTAGCATGACAATTAATGGTACAAAAGAATGATTTCCTGTGTCCCTTGAGCAAGATTTCCAATTCTGCTCTATATCATATTCCCTTTGATAAATGAAGAAAAGATAGTTTAGATGCTATTTTAGGCTATAAGTTTTTAAAGAGCTGAGATTGGGTCATGTAATTCTGAGTATCTCCTTTCTCTCATATTTTCATAACACTAAGACTAATTAAAGGTTTTAAAACCACTTGGTAACCATGCATATGCTCACAAATATGTAGTCACGATTAGTAAGAAAACTGTTTCAATTTGACTAAAAGACACCAAACCTTAAAAATACATTGACCAAAAAGCAAAAAGCATCCATAACTATTAAAAAAAAAAATAAAAGGAGTATGGGACTGGCCCTGTGGCATAGCAGGTAAAGCCGCCGCCTGCCATGCCAGCATCCCATATGGGCGCCGGTTCAATTCCTGGCTGCTCCACTTCTGATGCAGCTCTCTGCTACGGCCTGTAGCTACGGCTACAGGCTCTCTTCTATGGCAGTAGAAGATGGCCCAAGTTCTTGGGCCCCTGCACCCACGTGGGAGATCCAAAAGAAGCTCCTGGCTCCTGGCTTCAGATTGGCTTCGGCCATCGCAGCTGTTTGGGGAGTGAACCAGTCTCTCTCTCTCTCCCTCTCCCTCTCCCTCTCCTTCTCTTTCTTTCAAATAAAATAAATAAATAAAAATAAAAATAAATAAAAAAGGAGTGCACAAGTGGCATAGTGGTTAAGAAGCCCATATCTCATATTGAAGTTCCTGGGTTCAAGTCTCACTTCTACTTTGGATTCCAGCTTCCTACGAATGCACACCCTGGAGACAGCAGGAGATGGCTCAGTAATTGGGTTCCTGACACCTCTGTGGGAGATCTCGACTGATTTTCTGGTTCCTGGATTCTGGCATGGGCCTGGCCCAACCCTGGCTATTGCAGATATTTGGGAGAGTGAACCAGTGGATGGAAGATCTCTCTCTCTCTCTCTCTTTCTCTGTCTCACTTCTTCCCCCTCCACAACTGCCTTTCAAATAAAATGAAAAATAAATTTTAAAAAGAGAAAATATTGGCCGGCGCCGCGGCTCACTAGGCTAATCCTCCGCCTAGCGGCGTCGGCACACCGGGTTCTAGTCCCGGTCGGGGCGCCGGATTCTGTCCCAGTTGCCCCTCTTCCAGGCCAGCTCTCTGCTGTGGCCAGGGAGTGCAGTGGAGGATGGCCCAAGTGCTTGGGCCCTGCACCCCATGGGAGACCAGGAAAAGCACCTGGCTCCTGGCTCCTGCCATCGGATCAGCGCGGTGCGCCGGCCGCAGCGCGCCGGCCGCGGCGGCCATTGGAGGGTGAACCAAAGGCAAAGGAAGACCTTTCTCTCTCTCTCTCTCTCTCTCACTGTCCACTCTGCCTGTCAAAACAAAAACAAAAACAAAAACAAAAACAAAAAACCAAACAAAAAAAAAGAGAAAATATTATCATCAATTTAATGATTTTGCTAGCAACTTAGCAGACAAAAAAATAAAAAATAAAAAGAAATGAGCATTATGGACCTTAACTTTTTGCTCTGCTTAGTACCAGTCTCTTTAACATAGCTTATTTCACTAAGTTCTCAAAACAACTTGCAAGATAAATACTCCCATTTTCATTTTAATAAATGAGCAAAGTAAGGCTTAGAGATGTTAAATAATTTGACTAAGGTCTCACAGTCACAAAAGCCAGTACTGGGATTTTTCATTGTTTTTTCTAATATACTATAGTGAATAGATCATAAATATAATAAGAATAATGAATACAGATCATTGAAGCATAATCGGCACAATCAAGAAGAAGGAACAGCTTAAACAAACATGAAATTAATGTAATATGCTCTGGGAGTTTATTAAGCCTTAAATAGCCAATGTGGTAACAGTTATGAGAAAGGGAATAGAAAAAAGTAGTTAGGATTAATTTTAGAGTTGGAAACCCTGGGTTCAAACCAGGTTCCAATGCTTCCTGGGCATGTGGTCTCAGACAAGTTACTTAACCTTTCTCAGTCTCACTTTCCTCCAAAAGTACAGCACTACTGGCAGGATTAACATGGAATGTGCTCAGCACAGCCATCAGCACATCTTGTTCAACCGCATTCCTTTGCCCGCTTCCCCAGCAGCACATAAACTCTATGAAGGCAGGGAGAGCCCTGACCTAGTTCACTACTGTCTGGAGGACACTGATATTTATTGAATGAGTTAATAGCACAAAACCTTCAACAAATGTAACAATTACTAAACCAACATCTCAATGCTGACTATCCATCAGAATCATTGGTAGAACGTTTAAAAACACATTGATTCTCAGGTCCCACCACGACTGCTGAATCAGAAGCCTTCGTAGATGACGAGCTCAGTGGTTGGGACCTGGAGATCTTCTCTTGGCAGCTCCAGATGTACTGCCAAGAGTGTGCATCCAAGGAGAGAACCACAGGTGAAAGAGACAGGAATCTTTTTTTTGTAGCAGCCCTATTGAATACATCTCCAGCTCAGGAGCTGGAAAATCACTGCGAAGTGGATCTGAAAACTCCAAGGTGGTTCAGAGGAGAATATCAGAAAGGCCTCACGTTCACTGTTTCATCCATTTCACTCACGATGTGAAGAAATGAACTACGTTTTACACAAAATATATTAAGCTTCTGCTTGAAGTATAAGAAATCTATACCACTCTACATAAGCTCTTGCTTGATCTCATTTGTGACCAAATGATTCCAAACCTGTTTGCAATAATGGCTAGAATTGGGAGTTCAGTCTATGACCACAGTACAGACACAACACAGGAATGCCCATACTGCATTCTAGGACCTTAACACTAGCATGAAGAATTTTCATAGAGAAGGTGGTGACCCGCTAAAATTTACCTCTCTCTTTCATTTTTAAACAGCTTCTTATTTATTTGAAAGTCACAGAGAGAGAGGGGGGTAGACAGAGAGATCCTCTATCCGTTGGTTCATTCCCCAGATGGCTGCACCAGCCAGCACTGGACCAGGCCAAAGCCAGAAGCCAGGAGCTTTATCCCGTTCTCCCACATGGGTGGCAGGAGCCCAAACATTTGGGCCATCTTCCACTGTTTTCCCAGACCATTAGCAGAGAGTTGAATCAAAAGTAGAACAGCTGGGACCCAAACCAGCACTGGTATGGGATGCCAGTGTCACAGGCAGCAGTTTTACCTGCTATGCCACTATGCCGGTCCCTATACTTTATCTCTTTTAAGGCAAAAAAGGACAGGAACAGCTCTCCAACTAAACTGGAAAAAATAAGTGCTAATTACAGAGCAATTCCAGTAAATGAAAAACAAAACAATCTTTTTGCTAAGCATTCCCCCCCTACATTTTGTTTATTAAGTGTACTTCAAAGGATTGTAGAAAACACATATTATGAAAAGCTATGCATGGATTTCAATTTTTTTTTTCATCAAAAATATTTATCTTGGGGTCGGCACTGTGGTGTAGTATGCTAAGCCTCAGTCTGCAGCATTGCCATCCCATGTGGGTACTGGTTCAGGTGCTGGCTGCTCCTCTTCTGACCCAGTTCTCTGCTGTGGCCTGGGAAAGCAGTGGAAGATGGCCCAAGTCCTTGGGCACCTCCACCCACTTGGGAGACCCAGAGGAAGCTCCTGGCTCCTAGCTTGGGATAGGTTCAGCTCCAGCCATTGCAGCCAGCTGGGAAGTGAACCAGCAGATGGAAGACCTCTCTGTCTCTCCCTCTCTCTGTGTCTACCTCTCAAATAAATAAATAAAATCTTTTACAAAATTTATCTTTTAATTCAATTTTCTCATGAATTTTTAAGTAGTAATTTGTCTATAATAAATTGAAAAACACTTAAAAAAATTTAAAAGCTCCAAGGAGCCAGTGCTGTGGCATAGCAGGTAAAGCTGCCCCCCCTGCAATGCCAGCATCACGGATGGGCACCAGTACATGTCCCAGCTGCTCCACTTCCAATCCAGCTTCCTGCTAATGCACCTGGGAAAGCAGCATGGCCCAGGTGCTTGGACCCCTGCACTCACATAGGAGACCTGGAAGAAGTTCTTGGCTCCTGGAAAGTCTCCCCCCCTCCGCCCCTGTAACTCTGCCTTTCAAATAAATAAATAATTTTTTTTTAAATGTTTCAAAACAATTCCTGGAGGATTTCTCAAGGCCAGCAGATATGCAGAATAATCTTCATAGTCTGCATGTTTACTACTACATGGTGAGAATAAAAATTTAGAATAATTATTCCTCAACAGTGCTGAAATAGCCTATAAAGACAAAATTGGACTAGAATCTGCCCACTCAAGCACAAAAAACAATATGTTAGAATTAAATAAATACTTTCTTTAACGGGCTGAAATTAAAATCTATTGGGGTAATCTCAAACTAATGATAAGATTCAGGAAAATAAAGTATTCACCACACAGATAAATTTACTAATGTTGGAAAAGTTTCCCAATAGCAAAGGCTGACAAACATTGAGTTTTTAGGTCAGTGCATTGATTTCTCTTTGTTAAACTCTACAAATAAAAAAGATTCCCCAAGCTGAAATAAGTTAAGTACGCTTATGTGCAGCAACACAGAGATGAACTTAGATCACCTTTGGGTCTCTACAATCCTGATTTAATAGAGGATCCTCCACTCTGGCTTCTAAAAAGGAAGAAACTAAACCTATAAGAAAAATGAGGAAAGGGTTTTAAGATAACAATCTGTAACTTATACCCAACCTATTCTCTACATTACCTGAGTGGCTAATTCCTCCCTCCTTTCAACTATTTAGTTTAATTTCTTTTATTGAAAGGTTTTGATAAGATGGGGAGAAATAAGGAGACACCTTGGGAAAGGTCAGACAAATTTTACTCAGCCAAAAATTCAAATCAAAAGCAAAAATATGCATTTCTTTACATGTGGGTACCCAATTTTAAAAGAGTATATATACTTTGCCTCCCCACAAAGTATTCCATTTTTTACCCACATCCATGTTAGTCTCTGAACATTTAGCAGCCAGCAGTTTAAACTACATAAGATGCCAATCCTAACTCATAGTATTAGTGAACACTCAAAAACATAATAGAACAAACTGTATTATTTTGTTCCACATTGCTATAGCAATATTGGCTGAGGCAAAGTTGATGGCTAAGGACAAATGATCGTTTTGGTAATCTGGGTTGTAATGGGGTTGAAATGTAGTGTCTCAAAATCATGACCTATGAGGCATTTGTAGCCTGGCAAATAGTTTGACCAAGACCCCCAAATCAATATTTTTTCACTGTGAGAATTTCTTCCATTTCTCTGTGCTATGATAGATACCCTCAAAGATTGAGATCAACTACACTTAAGGACAGAAGGAAACATGAGGAGATGATAAAGACAAAAATAGGGGTCAGCACTGTAGTGCAGCAAGTTAAACAGCAGCCTGCAGCACCAGCAAGCCAAATGGACACCAATTCAAGTCCTGGCTGCTCCACTTCCAATCCAGCTCCCCGCTAATGCTCCTGGGAAAGCAGCAGAAGATTGCCCAATGCTTGCACCCCTACACCCATGTGGGAGGCCTGGGGGCTCTCCTGGCTCCTGGCTTTGGCCTGGCCCAGTCCTTGCCATTGCAGCCACCTGGGAAGTGAATCAGTAAACAGAAGCTCTCTCTCTCTTTTTCTCTCCCTCCCTCTAATTCTGAGTTTAAATAAAATAAATCTCTAAAAAATAAATAAATAATAACACATTGGAAAATGGAAACCTGAAAGTAGCAGCAAATGTCTACTTGAAAAGTACCTAACAGCAGACTATTAAGCACTTATGGGAATACACAGAGTATAAATACAGCACAAATAATTACAGCCTTCTGGCTATATGTCAGTGTAGCCTGAGAAATATTTAATATAGACCTTTGTCTAAGCACAGGAAAAACCTGAATTGCCTGGCGTAAACAGTGTAGTGACCCAGGTGACATACATCTTCCTTGTGAGGCAGCACCTACGCCACATCAACTACATTAAATTCGTCCCACCATTTAGCAAAAGCTCGCGTACATACTCAAAGCATAGGTCAAAGCACAAAACCTTTGTGAAATTTTATAGTCTTGAGGAAACAAATGTCAGAGACAGCCGGTGAACAGAGCGGCTGCATGGGCCAGGAAACAGGTCCATGCAGGGCACACATCTCACAGAGATTCAGCAGCAGGATGGTTAGGAGAGGTGTAGAGGAGAAGGAGGATTTTTGCATTTGTGCAGTGTAGACAGATCATGCATGGCAATTAAGTGTCTCAAAGGACCAAGAAGGCGCAGGCTGTAATCTGTGCAACAGTGAACCATTCTAGTGCTTAAATAAGTAAATATACAAGTGCAAACAGCTATTATTTTTTAGAATGGTCCTATACATGTATTTACATTAATAAATCACTTGCATAAATAAATACATGTATTTACAGTAATAAATTAATAAATATACTATACATGTATTTACATAAATAAATCACTACTTACATTAATAAATTTAGAAACCAGGTAGTGAGGAGAGGCTGTGTTGTGGCAAAGCAAGTTAAGCCCCTGCCTGCGACTCCAGCATCCCTTACAGCTCCTGATTCAGCTCCCTGCTAATGTGCCTGGGAAATCAGAGACAGATGGCCCAGGTGCTTGGGCCCCTGCACACCTGTAGGGAGACCGGGAAGAAGCTTTGGGCTCCTGGCGTCAGCCTGGCCCAGCCCTAACTGTTGCAGCCATTTGGGGAATGAACCAGTTGATGGACGATATCTCTCTCTCTCTCTCTCTCTCTCTCTCTCTCTCTCTCTTTCTGTGTAACTCTGCCTTTCAAGTAAATAAATAAATCTTTAAAAAAAAATCAGATGACATGTATCTCCAAGTTTTGGTAAAAAGTCTAATAAAAATAGGAACTCTAACTACAAGCACAGTTACCAGATTAAACAAGACTAAGAAACAGGATAATATACAAAAACTGAACAAAAATACTTATTGATCAGTTTTTCTTAAACAGGAAATCTGTCATGGAATTTGTACAGCATTCAATATCTACAAAGTATTTCTCTGATCATTTTATCAGCAAGCCTGGCCTACAGATGAGCTAACTGAAGCACTAGCAGAACAAAAGAGTTCCTTAAGATCGCAGGAAAAGTTGGAGTAATTGGTCTTAATCAACTCTTAACATATGATCATTTTATTCATTAACACAGTCAACAAACAAACATCTGATCACCTAATATTCTCGGCACTGATAATAAAAAAGATAAAAATCTCTACTCTGTGTAAGCACATAGGCAGGAAAATTGTCAGGTAAGCTGAGACAGGAGCTCTGGGATAATCTGACTCTGCCCAAGCATGTGCCAGGGGAAAATACGGAAGACTAGCAACTTTGACCACATCTTAAAGTATGGCAAGGGGGACAGAGAAAGAAAGCAGTGGGTCCAGGATGAGTCAGGGCAAGGGGGATTTTCAGGTCAAGAGTCTAAGGCAGAAGCAAATGGCTCAAGATGCAGACAAAGTGCTGGAAATCACAAAGGACCATATGACAGAGGCCATGATTACAAAATGCAGATCTTAGTCCCTATGTAATGAAAGAACCGAAACGCTTCACAGAGAACACTGTCACGGTCATGTTTCATTCATTACATGGAGTGTGACGTAGCCCTGTGAAAACAGCTTAGAGACAGCAGGACACAAGCAGACCCAGGAAAATCCATTAGGAAATATTATCAATAGTCAAAGCAAGAAATAAGAACCTAAATTAAGGCAGAGACTGAACCATGCAGGGAGAATTAAATTTCCTTATTCTTTGGGGTAGCTTCTATGAGGTAATGTTATAATCAGGTAGGTAAATTATGTACAACAATAAGAGAGAATGATGTGATATTATTATTTAGGTACTTAGTCTAGAGTTACTCTAAGGTCCAAAAACCTCAGCTCTGTCGAACCACTGAAGAGATTTGATAATATAAGTTCTAAATTATTAAGGATAAATTTCAGTAACCAGAATAAATATTTTTATAAACCTTAGTTTCAAGATCTAGCAAAATTTTTTTTTTAATTCATAGCAATACATATTGCAGTAGAATAAGCATGGGATGGATGTGTAGAGTAGTGAAATGGTAGGGAATTTAGTACTTGGCAGCCTAAACCACTGTAGTCTCATTAACCTCCTGAGGCCTGGAAACAAATTAGCAATAGCACAGCTATTCAAAAAATCATCATAGATGCAGTTGATGCCGTCAGTTATTTATCTTGAGACACACAGAAAATGAGAGTCTCAAGTGAGAAGCAGCAGTCAGCAGAACACATAATGACACAGACGATGATACAAGGCCTAGTGCTGCCCTTTCACAAAATGCAGCACTGTAAGGACTTTACCTCGTGCCAGTCTTCGAGCTTGTTGTCAGAAAGATCTAGCTCCGACACGTGAGCGCAGAAGGCAGCAATTTCTTTTTCATCTCCTGCACAGGTTATCCCACAGCTGTTCAGCACTAGCACACTTGGGAGGTTGAGGCGATCTGAAGCACAGGGAACATAAAACACTTTCCACATCAGCCCAGTTCTTGTGTGTGTATTCTCAGCCCCCAGAAACTGTCAGGAAACAAACATCAAACCCTGAGAAATTATGTAAGACCTGGAAAATGCAGGATAAGAATGAGATCCTAGGAAAGTGAATGCTAAGAGGAGACAGCCAAATATGGCCCAGGAGGAGCTCAAAATTACTGAACTAGTACCACCAACAAAGTCCTCTAAGCTTTAACTCTCAGCAGGATTGCTCATCTCAGTTACCAACAACTGAGCCCCATCCATGCTATCTATCCTCTTACCATCCCAACACCAGCCCCACACAGTTCAGGCTGGACCACCACTTCCTTCTTACTGACCATGATTCTTTGTTTTCAAAAATTTAGTTTAAAAGTAGCCTGGACAGCTCTTTTCTCTGCCTGCTGTGTATCTTTACCTTTTGCTGCCTTTGAAAATTATTCCAATCCACTGATCTATCTGCTAAACCTCTTCTCTTCAAGTTCATTACTACTCAAGTCTCCTTCACTTAAGTAGAGCCATTCAAAACCTGCATCACCTTCTCTCACATTTGGCTATGAATTCTTCTCTTTCATATCCATGTATAATTTGTCCCTTATGAAAATTAGCCTTCTTTGTAACAGGAGAAAGTATTTCAGGGTCTTAAAAGATTCCATGAATTTAGGTCAAACTAAAGTAATAACTCTCTGAATATAGCCTGGTTCAAAACTGTGTGTCAACAAAAATCACTCTTACTATCTCTATAAAAAGAACAAACACGTGAATTCAGCTCTTCATTACCTATTTGGTATATTACTTCTGAAGACAGAAACTATAAATTATATTATTTTCAACTTCATACTTGTGAATATCATATTTCTCAGAATAAGAATGGATCCTAGACGGTGACAACTAACCAAGCACCAAAAAGGAAACCTGTTGAAGCGAAAGGGACACTATGAGAAACAGTGACTTGATCAGCCCTCATCCTGACTGTTGATGTACAATTTAATACTTTATCCCTTTTAGTATTTTTTTTGTTCTATTAATACTATTGGTTGAACTGTGTAATTAACACACAATTATTCTTAGGTGTTTAAATTTAACTGAAAAGTGATCCCTGTTAAATATAAGAGTGGGAATAAGAGAGGGAAGAGATGTACAATTTGGGGCATGCTCAAGCTGACTTGCCCCAAATGGTGGAGTTAGAAATGTGCCAGGGGATTCCAATATAATCCCATCAAGGTGTCATGTACCAATGCCATCTCACTAGTCCAAGTAATCAATTTCAGTTCACAATTGATCATACTGATAGGTCTAAGAGTCAAAGGGATCACACAAACAAAACTAGTGTCTGCTAATACTAACTGATAGAATAAAAAAGGGAGAGAATGATCCAACATGGGAAGTAGGATACACAGCAGACTCATAGAATGGCAGATGTCCTAAACAGCACTCTGGCCTCAGAATCAGCCCTTAAGGCATTCAGATCTGGCTGACGAGCCCATGAGACTATTTTAGGCATGGAAAGCCAAGACACTCTGGCAAAAATGAAAGATCTCTGCGAATGAGATCCCAGTAGAAAGAACAGGCCATCAAAGAATGAGGTACCTTTCTCTGAAGGGAGGAGAGAACTTCCACTTTGACTATGACCTTGTCTAAATAAGATCAAAGTTCGCCGAACTCAAAAGGCTTCCATAGCCTTGGCAACTCATGACTGGAGCCTAGGGAGATTACTGATGCCATAAACAAGAGTGTCAAAGTGTTAAGTCAACAACAGGAGTCACTGTGCACTTACTCCCCATGTAGGATCTCTGTCCTTAATGTGTTGTTCAGTGTGAATTAATGCTATAACTAGTACTGAAACAGTATTTTACACTTTATGTTCTATGTGGGTGCAAACTGATGAAATCTTTACTTAATATATACTAAATTGATCTTCTGTATAAAAAGAGAATTGAAAATGAATCTTGATGTGAATTGAAGGACAGAGGGAGTGAGAGAGGGGAGGGTTGCAGGTGGGAGGGAAGTTATGGGGGGAAAAGCCATTGTAATCCATAAACTTTGGAAATTTTTATTTACTAAATAAAAGTTTAAAAAAAAAGAATGGCTCCTAGAAAAAATTACCAAGAACAAAGACTACTTCTTGCCATTTCAGGTTGCATAGAATAATAAGATAATTGCATGAAGATAGAAAACAGTAACTAAAACACTGAACCTATCTTAATCCCCCATAATAACAAAAAACTATTTCTAAGAACTATTAATTTCAACAGTAGGCTAAAGGGCAAACAAAAACATACCTCATAAATTCCTAGTTAAAGAAATTTGTTCACCTCTAATCCCTCTCCTAGAATACCTTTCTCTCCTCTCTAACCAATTTTACATTCCTTTGTTTTTAAAGATGTATTTATTTATTTATTTGAAAGAGTTACAGAGAAGAGGCAGAGACAGAGGAAGAGAAAGGAGAGAGATCTTCCATCTGCTGGTTCACTTTTCAAGTGGTCCCAAGCTGGCTGAAGCCAGGAGCTTCTTCCAGGACTGCCATGTATGTGCAGGGGCCCAGAGACTTGGCCCATCTTTCGCTGCTTTCCCAGGCACATTAGCAGGGAGCTGGATTGGAAGTGGAACAGCTGGGACTCGAACTGGTGCCCATTATGGGATGCAGGCACTGTAGATGGTGGCTTTACCCGCTATGCCACAGTGCCAGCCCCCAAATTCTACATTCTTAAAGGATGAGTTCAAGGCACACAGCTTTGAATTCTTTCCTGATCGTTTCATATTAATTGGCTATGTTCTAAATTTATTTCCCAATCACTATGCTATTCTTTGGCTCAACAAAAGTACCTTGTGTTCTATCTTTGTAAATGTGAATGTTTTAATGCAACTAAACTTAAGGTCCTTCAGGGCACAGCCCAGCCTGTCCCCTCCACGTTCCTTGAAAGAATATGCATTTGAAATATTGTCACTCAAACAGTATTCCTGCCTGAGTGCAGCCAAAACATCTCTTGATCAATCTGGAGGAAAACTAGTCCTGTCTGGTTCTTAAGAAAATAAAAGTCATAGAAGGAGGAAAGACTATTTGACTCCTAATTCAAAATAAAGAAAACCATCTGCAAACCAAGGCAATATCGTAGCACCTTCATAAGTAAGCCCCAGTAAGTAAATGCGTGGGTCCTGTCAGTCTCACCTTTCATAGGAGAGCCCTGAGGTGTGGCAGGGACATGAACTCCCATCCCGGGACCACGGCGGTAGGGAAAGTTTTCTGGACTGTATTTTTCACATAACACTTGCATAAAACTTCTTCCACTAGGCTGATCCATCTTTCTTTCCTAAAATTCTGTAAGAAAATGAGAAATCATCAAAATCATTTATTTATGTAAGAAATATTTATTGAAAACCAATTATTTATAAGGCATTACGCTAGGCATTGCAGGCATAAAATCCATGGTCACTACCTCCTGAGATGTTACAATTTAGAGAGGATTCTTATGCAGATAAATGACAGCAATAACTGCCCTGCATATGATGTTTTTTTAAAGATTTATTTTATTTATTTGAAAGACAGAGTTACAGAAGAGTAGAGACAGAGAGAGAGGTCTTCTATCCGCTGGTTCACTCCCCAGATGGCCGCCACGGCCGGAGCTGTGCCGATCTGAAGCCAGGAGCCAGGAGCTTCTTCCGGGTCTCCCACGTGGGTGCAGGGGCCCAAGTACTTGGGCCATCTTCCACTGCTTTCCCAGGCCACAGAAGAGAGCTGGATCAGAAAAGGAGCAGCCAGGACTAGAACTGGCACCCATATGGGATGCCAGGGCTTTAACCCACTACGCCACCGCGCCAGCCCCTGCGTCTGATATTTGCAATAGAGAGGAAAAGTGCTATGAGATTCAGAAGAGGAGGCAGTCACTTCCTACCAAGCATAACAGGAAGACTCTGGGCTGGTGCAGAGGGTTTATGTGCTGAGTAACTGGGAAAAGGGCCGAAAAAGATGGTATAGATTGAACATTAGCTAAACAGCTTGAATGAATTCTGTAATATCTGACCTTCACAATACATACTCCCCTTCTTTCAGAGGAAAAGAAACTTTCTAACTTTATATACATGGCTGCCTGTATACAGAAGTGACTATGTGACTAGTTGTAGCTGATGGGATAGTTATAAAACATTCTGGGGCAGCTTCCAGAAATCACCCTTAAAAGACGGCCAGAGTCTGCTATCTGCCCGCCTTCTTTGTGTCTTACTCCATTTTGTTGCTGAGAAATGTTATCTTGATGCCATCTTGGCCCATTCACCCATGAAATATAATCCAAGTAGGGTGGGACAAAGGGCTAAAAGGGGCCTGAGTCCCTGAGGACTTCATGGTAGCCAGGGGCCCTACTGGTACATACTTGGGATTTTTCAGTGATAGAGAAATAACCCCTTTATTTAAGCCACTGCTCTTTTCCATTTTTTTGGTTGGTTACAACAGGACTTATTTTAACTAATACAGAATATCACTGGTTCTAAGTTTGGGTACAGTCTTTCCTATTTTAACCTCAGCTATGGGTCCAAATATTCAGTAACTGTGGCATTGTCTCAGTACTCATGCCTAGGTTAAAATAGGAACAATTAACGTGCCAAATTCTGACAGCTTAAGAGGCTGGCCTATGCTCTGTATTAATTATTAATCAAGAAGTAGGCCCCTATAACTGCCCTCTGTGATTCCAACTACCAAGTAGCAGGCTATTTTATTAAAATACTACTAAGAGTGAGAGAGACATGGAGTGCTAAAAATAGAAGGGATATCATGGGCAAAGGTCCAGCAACGAGAATGAACAATGGTGTTCATGAGTAACTACTAGAGATCTGGAGTTGCCACAGTGGCATGACCATAGAATAAGAAGAATCTAAATGGGAAACTCACAGGAGATCTTGTGATCCACATCATGAGGGTGAACTGTGTCTTACAGGAAACAGGAAGAAACTGGAAGGTTTTAAGAAAGAAAATATGATAAAAAAAAAAAAAAAACACTTTTTCTGTGTAAACTCATCCTTGGGGCTGGCATTGTGGCCCAGTGGGTTAAGCTGCTGTTTGCAACACAGGCATCCCATATGAGCACTGGTCTGAGCCCCAGCTGCTCCCTTTCTATCCAGCTCCCTACTGATGTGCCGGGGAGGGCAGCAGAAGATGGCTCAAGTGTTTAGTTCCCTGCATCCATGTAGGAGACACAGATGGAGTTGCAGGCTCCTGCCTTTGACCTGGCCCAGCCCTGGCCATTGCGGCCTTTTGGGGAATGAATCAGCAGACAGAAAATCTCTGCCCCCACCTCCCAGCATCCTCCTCTCGTCACTAGCATCCAGGATGATTGGAATGGCAAGAAAGGAGAACTGAAGACGGGGATTAGGTGTAAGCACCACCCAGCTCTCACTGCCTGATAGTTGTTGCCCTCAGATAAGCTACTCCATTTCTCTGGGACTCAACGCCTTCATCTATAAAATATGATATTAATATCAGTACTACTTGGATTTCAGGGTTGCTGTTGAGCCCTAAAATGTATCCATGCACTGCTTGGATTACAGGGCTCTCCAAAAGCTCTACCATATACGAATGCTATTAACCATCAGAGGAAGTTTTAGTAGGGTAAAAAGCACATGGAGTTAGGAAATGAAGGGTCCCTTACTAGCTGGGAGAAGTTTGGCTAGTTACCTAACTTCTCTGTAATTTTCTCATGGATGGGTGCTTCAAACCTTCCTCTCAAGTGTGTAGTAAGAATTAGGAAAAAGTAGGATCATAAAAGTAGTCATGAAATATGGCCTGTGCCCTAGACTTCTACCAGGACCAAGTCTACAGGACTCTGTGAAACCAATTCACCAATGCCTGGAACACAGCGGCAGGCACTCACACAGCACAGGTCCATCCGTGGGAAAAAGGTTGTATGTGTAAGATTTACCAAAGTTTGACCACGGAATACATTTCATAATGAATATACCACAAGTCACCTTGGAAAAACAGGGCTGCTCTCTATGCAAGATCCTCATTTGTGGAATTGACATTGTGGCACAGTGAGCGAAGCCATTGCCTTTAATGCAGGCATCCCATATGAACACCAGTTCTAATCCCAGCTGTTCTACTTCCAGTCCAACTTCCTGCTAATGTGCCTGGAAAAGGGGCAGATTACGGCCCAAGTATTCAGTCCCCTGCCACCCAGGTGGGAGACCTGGATAGAGTACCAGGCTTTGGTCTGGCCCAGCCCTGGCTGCTGCGGCCATTTGGGGAGTGAACCAGTGCATGGAAGACCTCTCCCTCTCTCTCTCTCTGTCTTCTTCTTTCTTCAACTCTGCCTTTCAAATAAATAAATCAATCTTAAAAAAATCCTCACTCATATGTCTAGGATTAGAGCCTGTTTAGTACAAGATTACCCACATGGAGTGGAAAGTGCCTGCCTAGATGCTGTCCTCTATCCCAACGCTGATTGTGTAAAAACTGAACTGTGTTGTGTTCCTCTAGGGCTTCAAGAACCTTCAGGATGAAAAGTACTTGTTCAATGTAAACTTATCACCACCAACAGCGGACCACACAGAGCAGGCATTATGCCACTAGCCACAGGCACCACGGCTCTTATCAAAGACCTATCTCAAGCAGGATGCCAACAGAATTTTTTGAAATGTTTCACCAAAAAACTCAAAGAAGTTACATTGCTATCTTTCACATAATTGGCAGTTCAAAATAAAAAGTGTGTGGCTAAGGAAGGGTTTACTGTCACTATAAAAATAATGGTCAGCAAGTTTTAGCAGCATATTTTACATGCAGGTTTTAAAAGCACTTCAATTCAAATTATTCAATTGAAGGCTGAGAATCTTACATACAATTTAAATATAGAGTAGAGACACATTTAAGTTAAAATATGTCCTAGTAAGCAAGCAAATCTGGTGACTTAGAAGTTTTTTCCTCATGGCCAATGCCTTAATAACTCTTGCAAATAGATTTATTTGTTCTTTATATGGGTGTTTTTCTAGTTCTTCTTTTTCTAAGACTAAAAAGCAACAGCAAGCACCTTCATTGGTCATTTTCCAAGATATCCTATTGGACTTGCTTTCCAGGAATGCAGATGGTGTGCACATTAATACATGAGTTTTGAATTAGAACATTTAGATTGCAAAATGGATTAGTAATATAAATCCACTCAAAATCTGTTGGGGGGCAGTTTGAGGAGGAACAGCAGGTGGGAAAGGAAGGTTGAAAACCAAACATTGAAAAATGAGAAAATACAGGATGGAAAAAGATCTTTAACTGGAGTCATTTAAAAGGTTTTTAGGTGTGTGTGTGGAAAGGGGCCGCTAATCTCTGACTTTCTGGAAATAACAGGCATCAAATTACATTAATCTACCTCAACAGTTGGCTTAGCTCTAACACATTTGTAAAACCATTCTGAATTGGTGCTTAAAGCCAGGGAACCTGGAATCTTGGGTGATGTCCCTTCATTCCATTACCACGTAGTGGAGTGCGTGTGTGAAAAATCTCAATTCCCTTTCTGCCTCAAGATCCTGACCATAATGTTCTCTTGTCAGGAACTTGGAAAAAATCAGAATAAAGTGCAAGTTGGAGGATGAGGTGCCCAGAACAGTTTTGCCAAGTGGATTACTATCACAACAGAACATCCAGCCACCTAAATACTCTCCACTGCCATCAAACAATTGGTTCTTTAGGTTCCCAACAAAAGGGTCAGCTCAAAATTGGGATAAAACCCAAAACAACTGAAAACAGAAATATGCTATGCCTGACCCCTAACCCCAAAAGATACATGAAATATAAGCTCATGCTGGGATGCCAATGCAGAGTAGCATCCTTCAGAAAGCTCACATATTTCCAGCTTTGCTCACATCTTCCAAAAAATCTAAATACCACCGCAAAAGTGACAGGGTACAAATTTTAAATCTGACAAAAATAAAATTATGTGCTTGTGTATGCCTAGAATATTTCCAGAAGGATAAAACAGAAATGAATAAAAGCAGTGCCAACATTGACCCCAGAGAGAAGAAATGTGGAACCTAGTGGAAAAGATTTTTCTATTGTTTACCTTGCAGAACTACGTGAGCTCACCAGATGCATATATCATCTTTTCCAATACAAAATATTTTTAACTAACATATTTGGGAATGATCTACTAACACATCAAGAGGTTTACTTCTTATGATTATAAAGCTCCTATAAAAAATCAAATTGAAAATTTTGAATGCAGAGCTTGCAATATTAAAAATAATTTTCAAAGAAACAGGGGAGAGAAGATGAAAAGAGAATGAAATGAATGGCCAAACAAAACTGGATAATTTTGTAAAACAGAATCAGGAAAGTAAAAGCAAGCAGAGACAAACACACCTGAGCCTCAGCACTGACGTACAAGGAGACCCGCAGGAGGGGCGGAGAAGGAGGTGGATTAGGACGACAGCTAGATCTGTGTTCTGCTCTTGGTGACCAGGGCTTGGACAAGGACAAAGCACAAGCTCCAAGGTGGACATCGGGAGGCTGGAAGAAGACGAAGATGCCAAAATAACATGTTTGCAAAAGTAACCCAAATCTTTCACTCAAACCCTCCACAGTTTACCCAAATTATTCTGAGTCTGCAGTGAAACCACACCAGAAAGTGATGTTCCCTGGAAAGCCTGGGGAGCTTCAGACCTCCCTGCCACCTGTGAACAGGAACATGAACCAAGACAGGGAAAGATGCCACTCCTGCAGGTTTCAACTTATTGGAATAATACAGTTGGAACAGATTTGCACACTTGAAAAAGAAATCACAATGATTCAAGATGTGCATTCACTTAAGACAAGATCAAATCTCTGAGAAGAATTTTCATAAAAACAGAGAAATGGAAAGTATTCTCAAGAAATTTAAAATAGGGGCCAGCATGGTGGTGTAGCAGGTTAAGCCTGTTCCTGTCCCAGCTGCTCCACTTCTGATTCAGCTCCCTGCTAACATGCTGGGAAAGCAGCAGATGGCCCAGGTGCTTGGGCCCCTGCCACCCATTGGGAGACACTGTTGAAGCCTGGCTCCTGGCCATTTGGGGAGTGAACTAGCAAATGGAAGATCTCTCTGTCTCTCCCTCTCTCTCCTTAACTCTTCCAAATAAGTAAATGAATATTTTAAAAATTTTTCATACTTTCATACATATGCTATGGACCCATTTATATATAATTAATCAATCTTAGCTATTCAGAGAAGGGCAGAAAAAATTGCAGGCTAAAAGATACTTGCAGATATTTGTTTCCAAAAATTTGAAAACAAATCTTACATTAAATATACAAGCCAAAGGTTCCACAATTTCTCCTTAGGACATTTCATTCCAGTAATTTTTTTCTCCACTTAGGCACCTACTTCCTTCACAGGACAACCTAAATGAAAATCTCTTTACTAACTGTTTAGTAAAAATGGAATAAAAATATATTTTTTGCTCTATTTGCACCCTAAGTGATACTAATTAAACTTATTTGTCCATTCACGTATTTATAAACTGTGTGTCCTAAACAAGCTTACGCCACCAGATGCTGAATCTGTGCAAAATACAGTGCTAAGTACTAAAGAAATGGAGAATGAATAAAACCCAAACTGTCCTCAGGGCATCCATAATCTAGAAGGAAACACAGGAGATGGCACAGATGTAAAACCAGCCACACAAAAAGAGGAAGTTAAAACATAAGAAGTGATTAACTTTTAGACGTGTTATCAAGACAGTAGGTGACAGCCCCGGTGCTATGGTGTAGCAGGTGGAGTCGCCCACCTCCTGTGGTGCTGCACCCCATGTGAGCATGGTTGCTCTACTTAGGATCCAGCCACCTGCTGATGCACCTGGGAGGGCTTTGGAGGGCCTGAGTGCTTGGGCCCTTGCACCCACTTGGGAGACCAGAAGGAGACTGTTGGCTCCTGGCTTTGGACCTGCCCAGCTCCAGCTTGCTGTGGCCGTTTGGAGAGTGGACCAGCAGATGGAAGATGTCTCTGTCTCTGTCTCTCTCTCTGTCTCTCTCTGTAACTCTTCCTTTCAAATAAATATATAAATCTTTTTAAAAACAGAAAGTAGGTGAATTCTGAGCTATCGAGGAAGACCAGGTTACAGGGTAGGAAAGGACAGAGGCACAGACAATAGAGCATGAACAGTCACAAGAGACTGAAACAGCGGTTGTCAGCAGGACTGCTGAAACACAAATGGGGTGGGGGGGTGGGGGGACAGAGGCAGGAGACTGGACCTGGGCCGTGGGGATAACAGTGGTCATCAAGACTGTCCCTGCTCAGGCCAGACTTCATCCTGCAGGGATAAAAGAAAAATCCCTCACAGATCACTCTAAATAGAATGCAAGGATGAGACCTTTACACAGAATATGGCAAGGTAAAAAAAATAGTAGGAATTTTTAAGTTTCCCAAGGACTGTGCCATGAGGAGTTTGTCTAAAGGATGCATTTTCAGTACCCATTCAAGCAGGTGGAAGCCATGGACTAGGGGATTAAGGGAACAAGTAAGTGGAGATAATCAGTGAGGATGAATCACATCTTTGAGAAGCTTAGATGAAGGTAGAAGAGATGGCAGAGTTCACCAAGAACAACCAAATGTTAATAAAGAACTGTTCTCTCTTAAAAATGGACAAAAGCACATAGGCTGAGTCTGGGGGCCCGAGGAGAAAATACCAGGGATGGCTTCAAAGACCCTCTCAGGATTACTACCTCTCTAAGCAGTTTTTTTTTTTTCTTTTCAAAGCCCATTTAGCTTTCATTCATGGATTCCTCTTCTAACTTCATTCCCAAAAGCTTTATTTTTTTAAACAACTCCCCAACTATAGTCAAGCCCTCACAGATTCTTGGGCATTTTAGATAGTTGCAATTTTTGCTTATTTGTTTTGTTTTCTAAATCAGCCTTTCTGATCCCTAGCATTATCCCCAATAAAATAAAATTACTCTGGGAAAGTCTGTGTGTGTGTGTGTGTGTGATATTTTCCCTCCAAGAAAGATAAAATAAATCAATGAATAAAGGTATATTAATAGGCTTTTTAGTAAGTATTTGATTTAAAAAATACAATATTCTTTCTGTACTTTTAAAAATTCCCAGTCTAAAATAACTTAGAACATCAGCAAATTCTGTAACCCCTACCATGTGGTATCCTTTTTTTATTAGCTACGCTTAAGATGTAAATAACTGTGACCAACCGCTTTTCATATCTGAAGTGTATTTACAGCCATGGCCATACCAAGAGACTTCAGTGACAGATTTAGCAAGTAGATTAGGCCTGTGGATGCACCTTATGGTGTATATCCTTCCAGACCATTTTTCTATGCTATGTAGATATATGAGTATGTATTTTAGCAGAAAGATTAAATTACTTTTAGATATATAGTTTTATAACCTGATTTTTTGCTAAGTAGCTTATGAAAAACTTTCAGTGTCAATAAATATATATTCATATAACCATTTTTAAGGTTTTTCAAGTATTCCACTAATAAGCTTTTGAGCCGATGTCACAAAAGACAGTCATTTCTTCCTATAGAAACACTTCAAGCCATCGTCCAAGACAGTGTAATGAGACTGGGCAGGGTGGCCTCATTCTCAATGGCACATCTAATTTAATCTATCCTAAAGTATATATACATGAAGTTCTATATCAGTGCTATCCCTAAGCATTATGCCCCATTTGGACAAAAAGGAAAATAAACTAATTAGAATAAACTTTTAGAACTAGTCTTAGAATTATAGTTAACTCACTACCTCAACTGCTAGCATTCCAAGTGCAAAACTTGAGTGTAGCTGATAAATCCATTATCACAACACACCATGCCGCTATGATTTCATACCCTACTAGGAACCACACTATTTCTCAGGCTCTGTTTCTCAACTGCATGCTACACCACAATCAAGTATAATAACACTGGGGCTGGTGTTGTGGTATAACAGGTAAAGCCACTGCCTGTGATGCCAGCATCTCATATGGGCACCGGCTGGAGTCCTGGCTACTCCACTTCCAATCCAGCTCCCTGCTAATGTGCCTGGGCCCCTGTACGCACATAGGAGACCCAGATGAAGCTCCTGGCTCCTGGCTTCAGACTGGCCCTGCTCCAGTCATTACAGCTATTTGGGGAGTGAACCAGCAGATGGAAGCTCACTTTCTCTCTCTCTCTCTCTCTGTAACTCTGATTTTCAAATAAAAAGTAAATCTTTAACAATAAAATAAAATAAAAATACAATATAGCACAGCAACTTTTTTGGTAAATTAAAACAAACAAAAAATCTGGGGCAGTAATTTGGCCTAACGGTTATGACACTGGTTAAGATGTCCATGTCTCATTTTGAGTACCTGTGTTTGACTTTCAATTCTGGCTCCTGAGTCCAGTTTCCTACTATTGCAGACTCCAGGAGGCAGAAGTGATAGCTTAAGAAACTGAGTACCTGCTACCCACATGGGAGACCTGGATTGTGTTCCTAGCTTTCAGCTTCAGCCCAGTCCTTTGTGGGTTGGCCATGAGGGACATCTGAAAAGTAAACCAGCCCTTTCTCTCTCTGCCTCTCAAGTAAGTTTTTAAAAAAATCCAACACCGCCAAATGAAATGTGAATTTAGTTTCCTAGTCATTCTCTGAATTATGCTACTAAGTCAGGAAGTGCTACCCACTTTCTTATCATAACACCACAAACACTAAATTCTCATCCAAAATTCTTCATTTCACCGCATTAGTGACACTAAAGATGTGTAAAACCGTGACTGTGTTATCAGTGAAAAGTACGGCTTCAGGACCATCAATACACTCAGTAAGGACAGGCACTGCATACAAAGCCCAGCTGATGTCAGACAAAGAGACAAAGTTTTCTCCTCTCCAGCTGCACACCAGCAGACACGACTGGCTCGCAGGCTTGCAATTCACGGAGTGTTTCGGATCCAAATGCACCAGCCCAAGAAATTTATGATTTTGATGAGAAATTTGAGAGAACATTAAGAAAACATTGCTATTTAGACTGAATTGTTTCTTTGAAAATATTTCTAAACACTTCTTCCTTGATTTCCATACCCACTATTTGTCCAAAAATGTTGGCTTAACCAAATTGTCTGCATCTCCATCACATTAGGCTTTTGAATACAGAACAAAAATACTTTCCACAACCACAACAATAAAAATGGTTTAACATCCGCAACACCTTTCACTTCAACAGGTTCAAGGAGAATTCACCCTCACCACCCACTACACACATCCAGCTCCTTCACAAACAAAATCACATCCACCCTTACCTTTCACTTGGCCCAGATTCTAGCCGGGAAAACTGCAAGCCTTTACCGTGGCACTTACTCAAAGCAGGAGGAGATAGTCACCCTTGTTCCCAGACCAAACGTTCCACACTGAGATTAACAATCATTGTAAAGCCAAGTATTTTCTACTACCACTCTCTGAAAACGACAAACTAATACTTATCTCTGCTTACAGACCAGGAAACTGCGGGGACTTGCTCATGTTTCGGTGCCCCATCGTGCTAAGTCATACTTTCTGTGGCCCTAATCTGTTGAGCCATGTTGTCTCTCTTAAAAAAGAAGTACTTCATGTCAACAGTATACAGCACCACACAGAAATGTAACTTAACAAGTATTAAAATGTATGAAACCATTACAGCCAAAATATCTCTTATGAACACACGAAGTAGCTGGACCAAAAAAATAAATAAATATAAACAGCAGAACTAACTGGCCTAGTCAACAAAGGGGAAAGAATTATTTTCAACTTCTCCATCCTTCCAAAAGCAGTGTTTGTTTTTTCCTTGAATGGATTGGGTTTCATCAGAAGAAAACTGTATATGCACATGTTGTTTCAGCTGTGAGCACACAAGTTTAAGGTCATTATTTAGTTGTTTTCAGAATAGATTACCTCCATTATCTCTGCTCTACAGAAGCCATCATGTAGAGGCGAGGCCTCATTGGCAACAGATACTAGTTCATTACTCCGCAGCCTTCTACAGGAGTTCATAAACCACTCTGGCTCATATCCACAGGCTGCCAGAATGTCTAACATTAGCCACACAGAGAGGTTTCAGAACTTTACAGGCCATTTACAATTTTTTCACTAGCCCCTTTCACACTTAGAGCCACAGCAATTTTGCCTGATGTACTAAGTGCTGAGTCTGCAACTACACCTGCTGGATGTAAACCATGACTGACCAGGACTCTGTGGAAAAGTCACTGACATTCGCCAAGTTCCCATACCCTCATCCACAGGAAGGGGTAATAGATGGTCCCTAATTCCTAGCTCACTGGGTTGCTGAAAAAATGAATAAAGAACATAGTTAAAAAAATGTTTAGCACAGTGCCTGACTCATGGAAGGCACTTACTTCCCAGGAGTAGGCTAATTAATGCCAATTAATGAGTCGGCACAATCATGTCTGACACTTACAATGCTACCCCTCTTTAACTGGATGATCTTGCCCACACCTCACTACCTGTCTAAATGTTACATATCATTCAACACTCGACTCAAAATAGACTTCAGAGATAATACCTTTTCAGGTATCTCTTGTGACCATGATATTTCCTTTGAGCTAAGCCCACAATACCTGTTACCTAAAATATTCAGTGTGCAATTAATTTGTTACATATCGGCATTCATTTCTATCCTTTATAACATTTTTATTCAGTTCATACACAGTGATGTGATTTTCAGGTGTTCTTGTGATCTCAGAGCCCACAGGTCCTGAAGGTAAGAACCATATCCTAATGCTGCTTTGTGCCTATCACACACTGGAACTTTTTGCACAAGATTGGCACCCAGAAAAGGTGCTAATGTAAGGTTTTCTAGTCACTTCTGATTGTGCATATCACATACATTTTATATGAAAATCAGATTTATTAATACATTCTGAAATCAGAGTAGTTAATTAAAAAGTTCCGTTCTATAGCTACAGCTTGGATACACAATTATGCCTACTCCATGGGGTTCCTAAAGAGGTGACATACAGCAAAGAACTAATAGTAGAAATACCTGCTCCTCTACCACGTCAAATTCTCTATAAAAACAACAGCCACAACAGATTTAATACTGAATATATGATTTTTATATCCCAACACTACCTTACAACCCATATGCAAGAGTTAACGATTAATGCCCTATTTCAGAACAACAGGCACAACTAAAGATTTGAATATTTGTGTGTTGCAGCTAAGAATGTAAAATGGTTTAGCTGGTTTGGAAAATGGCCTGGCAGTTCCTCAAACATTCATACACAGAACTGCCATATGATTCAGCAATTCTTCTTCTGGCTATATACCCAAAAGAACTGGAAGCAAGGAGTGGAACAGGTATGTGTAGACCCATGATCAATGCCAACGTGATTCACAACAGCCAAAAGGTGGAAACCAACCAGGTAACCATCAGTGGGTGAGTGGATAAACAAAATGTGCTGCATATGAGGGTACTTTAAAAAGCTCATGAAAAAATAGAATGAAAAGGATGAGTTTTATTTTGGTGCAAAACACCTTTGAAATTCATGTATAGTCTTTTCATAATATGTAAGTTCTACATAGGATGGAAAACAATTTTTTTAAAGATCTACTTATACGGGCTGGTATGTGGTGTAGCAGGCTACACTTGATCTTAGCCAAAAGGCTGAGAAATAATGGTATAGTATCTGGTTGTCAGGAGTTAGGGGGAGTGGGGAATGAGGAGTTACTGACGAATGAGTACAGAGTTATAGTTTGTAAAAATGAAAAAGTTCTGGAGGTAGATGGTGGCAATGCTTACATAACAATACAAATGTACTTAATGCCACTCAACTGTACACTTAAAAATGGGAATGATCACTTATTGGCCTTTTGGCTAAGATGAAATGTTTAAAAAGAGGCAAGCATGGAGCCTCAGAGTCAGAATGCTGGCTAAGTGGCACATGTCCCATACTGGAGTACCTGGGTTCAGTAACCAGCTCTGGCTCCAGACTCCTGCTTCCTGCTTCCTGCAGATTCTGGAAGGCAGCAGTAATGATCATGTGATTAGGTTCTTATCACCCACAGGAGAGACCTGGATTGAGTTCCAAGCTCCCAATTTGGGTATTTAGGGAGTGAACCACTTGGGAGTACTCTATCTCTTTCTCCTCTCAATTAAATAATCTTTTTAAAAAAAGTTAAAATGGTAAGTTTTATTTAATTTGTATTTTATGAAGTTTTTTTTTAAATAAAGGAGTATATTCTATGCTAAAAACAATTTATATCAAGTCCAAAATTTCTGGTTCTTGCTGTTAATGGCCTTATCAAATTAATGTAATTAATTCACTTGAGGATCTTAAACCATGAGTAAGGGGAAAAAACAGCTAATTCTCAACTAATGCATTTATTGGAAGATTAGATTTGTGATGTATAAATCTTTTTGCTGTTGTTGCTGGAATCCTTTACCAATGTTTATAAGGAGAAATATCACTAACTGAATGAGGAACTAAGAGTTGATCTTCAAACTTCAACCTCTAGAGGATATCTGGCTTCACAAAACTTATACTTTGAACATATCAGTAATGACTATGAGAAAATATAATCCTCATATGAATCATAATAATAAAGGTTTAATAATTTATACCTGGTTTTAAACATTTCAAGAGCTGCAATTCTTTCCTAAAATTACTGCTTTCAAACATTTACCTATGAATTACACTAACATAACAGTACCATGATTAAAAATATAAGTATATTTCAAAAAGTTTGTGGAGAATGGAATTAAAATTTTATGTAAGTGCAAAACAATTGAAACCTCTGCATAGTTTTGTATAATATGCATTTTCATGAACTTCTTTTGCACCAAAAAAACCCTTATCTTTTAATTCCATTTTCTACAAACTCTTTGAAGTACCCTGTGTAAAAGTATTCTAAGAAAGAAGTCTCTTGACAGAGATAATGGCATCTGTCAATCAGAACATTTAGTATTTGAAGGAGTTACTGCACTATTCTCTCAAAATAAAAATGTTAAAATGATATGTGACTAAGTATGACAAAGAAGAGAAAGTGCAAAAGCTAATGTTTTCATAACAAACCGCCTTTCAATATTTCATAGGTCAAGCCTCATTCATTATGCATTCCATATTTGCAAACTCCTCTATATGCTAAAATTAAAATCCACGCATACATAAGGGGTTTTCAACAAATTCATGAAAACACATATTTATTTCTAACCCCACAAATCAACACTGGTAGCATTGCTGTGGTCACTTGCAGTTACACACAGAGCAACCAGAACAATGTGACTTGCCCAGTGCGCATGTGCCCACCTGCAGCAGAACGAGGCAACCCTCCGCTCCCTTGTGTCAGCTCTCGTACTGTACACAAGTGTCCTCTGGGTGGTCTATTTAGTGCTGTCTCTGACATTTTGTATGCTTCTTGGGATGTCACTATTTAAAATGGCTCCCAAGAGTAGTGCAAAAATACAATCTAGTGTTCCTGAAGCACAAGGAGGCTGTGATGTGCCTTACAGAGAAAATACATGAGTGAGATGGCTTCATTCAGGCATGAATTAGACTACTGTTCACAGTAAATTCAGTGTTAATGAATCAATAATATATATTAAGTAAAGTATCCTGAAACAGAAACACATATAAAACAAGCTTAAAGTTGATCATTTGATGAAAATGTTATGTCATAGGCTCACTGGAAGCGACTTCTATATTTCCCCTAGGAACAATGGTTCAATATTCATTAATTCAGTGTTCATGGCAACTTTACATAAAAATATGGAGAATAACAAAAATTTACTGCGCTTTGTTAAAAAAAATAAAAAAGACAACTCTGGGGAGAAAAAGAGACCAACAGAACAGAAAACAGAGCCCAGAAACACGCCTATGTAAATCTGGCAGGAACTGGCATAAATATCAGTAAGAAAAGCTTCAACTATTCAATAATTGATGCAGGGACAGTGAATAGCAATCTGGGGAAAATGAAAGTGAACCTTCACTTCACAACAGAAAAAATTTCAACTCTAGATAAAATGTGAAAGCGAAATTTATTCCCTTGAGAAGAAAACAGTTATTTCTTCTAATAAGAGAAGAGCTTTATGATCTTGATTTAGGGAACTATTTCACAAACAAAACATTAAAGAAATACACAAAGTAAAAGTTAGTCAATAAAATGGAAAAACTTTGATCATCAAAAGACATAAAAACATAAAAAGACAAGCCAGAAACTGGAGAAAAATAAAGAATCTTTGCAATTCATGTAACTCACACAAAGAATTCTTCAAACAATAAAGAGGTAAACAACCCTATAGAAAGACAAGAACACGTATTTGACAGAAGAATAAACTCAAATGGCTAAGAAATACATGTAAAAGATACTCAAGTTCAGTAACAGGAAGACAAAAATTAAAATCTCAACAAGATACCATTTCATATAAGTTAGCAAAACCTAGAAACTGACAATATCAAGTGTTGGGAAAAATGGAATGGGAACTCTCACATTGTTAGTGGGAGTATAAATTGGTACAAGTGCCTTGGAAAACAATTCGTCGCTGTCTAGGAAGGTGAGGATGCACATACCCTATGATCCAGCAGCTGCACTCCTCAGAGTAAGCTCCACAGGAACTTGGACATGGGCACCAGGAGACAAGTATAAGAAAGTCCATAACAACAGCACTGTTTGAAATTGTAAAATTCCTGGTGGGGGGAGCCCTTACATCTAAGAACAAGCAATTGGATATATTATAATATATTCACAAAATAAAAATAACAGCATTTGAAATTAACAATTGATACTTCATTATGCCTGCTTCCTTATCAATACAAGTGACTTTTAAAAACCAGTGTTGAATAGGTAAACTGACTAATCCTAAGAATATATTCAGTAGAATTCCATTTACACAAAATTCAAAAACATAGAAACTTAATCATCTTATCATTCAGGGTCACAGACATATATGATAAAAACTGTAAAGGAAACACAGAAAATATTAAATACAAAATTCAGAACAATGATATTCTTGGTGAATGGAGGTGTATGATCAAGAAGCACTCAAGGGCTGAATTTTAATTCCCTCTTCAAATCTGCTCCTCATCCCATCTCAGAAGCTGCTTTTGACTTTCTTCTTCCTCTCCCACCCCCGTGTAATTAATCAGCAAGACCTAGCAACACCACATCCAAAATGTCCCACACCTGACCTGTTCTTTCCTTCTCTGCTTGCAACACTAGCTCAAGCCATCATCAATCTCCCACTAGGATGCAGTAGCTCCTGCCCTCGTCTCTTCTGACTTCTGCACAATTCACTCTCCACAAGCAGTCAAGTGGTCTTTTCAAAATGTCAAATTATGTCCTTTAAACTTGGCAATGGGTTCCTTTCCCACCTAAAATAAAATCCAATCTCTTAATTATTTATTTATATTTTATTTCATATGAAAGGCAGAGACACAGAGAGAGAGGTATCTACTACCCACTCATTCAATCCTAAATGCTACCAACAAGACAGAAGCTGGGAAGTCAATCCAGTTCTCCCACATGGGTGTCAGAGACCTAAGTACTTGAGCCACTAAGTGGCCTTCCGGGGTGCACATTAGCAGGAAGCTGGAATCGGAAGAGCTGGGACTTCAACGCCAGCACTCCAGTATGGGATGAGGGTGTACCAAGCACCACCGTAACCACCAAACCCCCACCCCAAAATTCAAGCTCTTCTTTCTAGTCTTCAAGGATGCCTGTACTCCAATCTCTGCTCACCTCACGAGCCCCACCTCCTTCCACTCTTCGCAGCCCACAAGGCTTCTGCCTGCTGGCTTCCAGCTTCTCAAATTTGCCAACCTCACCTGGCCCGCCCGGCAGCCTTTACACTGGTCAGACTGGCCTCTCCCGGCTCTCAAGTATACACACGAATGTCACTTCTCCAAAACCCTGCCTCTCCTCACCCCATCAAAAGCACACTGCCACGACCAACCACTCGGTGTCACTTCCTCCTCTCTCTAGCTCATGGAGAAACATAGTAAGAAAAAAAAATGTATGCATGGATTACAATTTTTGCCCACCAAAACAAATTTACCTTCTAATTTCTTTCTTCCACACATTTTGTTGGATGAATGGAAAAGTGAATTTTATTTTAAATAGGCATGAAGTAATATATTCTGACAGTGAAATGAAAATCAAAATATACCAGTGAGGACTATGGCAATGTGGAAGAAAGAAAAATTTTGCAGAACCACTGGAAAAACATTCTTCTAAGAGCAATTTTGGATTAAACCATGTGCCTCAAAACAGTACTTGTTAGGGACACCTTCTTAAGGATGATTAATGAATGTTTCACACAATGACAAGATCCTGAGTTTTGGAAGTATGTCACCTCCTTAAATCTCGTGCTGTTAGAAGAAGAGCACTGTGAGTAAAGCATGAGCTTCAGTTGGCTCTGAGTTCAGTTTCAACTGCTGTGCCCTTTGGGGGGGTCCCTTACCTCTCTACCCCTGCCCCTGCGTTTGTAACACAAAGCTACAGTCATGCTTCGCTTAACAAAGGGAATGTCTTCTGAGAAATGTGCCTGAACCCAAGTGTGCACTTACACACACTGAGATGGCTCCAGTGTCACTAGATAATGCAATGGGCCATCATCATATATGCAATCAATACTTGACCAATACGTTGTGCAGTGTATGACTGTATACAATAGCTATTTCTTGGGGTTACTGTGAAGATTAAATGAAATAAAAAGTATCCAGTTAAGTGCCTGCATGAGCTTAGGTTTGGTGGGGAGCATCTGTCTAGTGGTTAAGACATCCCTTTGGGACAGCCACATCCCATGCGAGAGTGCCTAGGTTGAAGTCCCTGTTTCAGCTCCCACTGTCACCTTCTGCTGGTGCAGCACCTGGGAGACAGCAGGTGAGAGCTCCAGCAGTTGGGTCCCGTCACATAGCAGACCTGGACTGAGGTCCTAGCTTCTGGCTGCAGCCCTTGTGGGCGTGTGGGGAGTAACCTGCCAGATGGGAGCTCTCCGTCTCTGCATCTCAAATAAAAATGCACAGGTTAAAAAGTAAGTGCCTGGCATGTAGTAGGTGGTCAAGAAAGTGTGGCTATTTTTGTGAAAGCTGAAAGTAGGGAAATAAGAGAAAAACGATGAACTGATATGAATCAGATGACAAACGTCCTCCCCTGCTGGCAGAGGTAACTGCAGACAATGTGCCAGGAACACAGCCCAGGACCAAATCCTGGTACTAAATCCAGGACTACAAGCATGGGAAGGATGGGCAAGGCGTTTAGAGAAACCGAGGGAGCGTCTCTCTTCTTTACAGAGGCTGGTTACAAAGTCTTAGAGGAAGCAGCAGAAATGTCCTAGATGAAAAAGAAGGGGAAAGCCTGAGTAAGAGAAGAGACACAAGATTCAGCAAGAAATGTAGTGTAGCTGGCACACAGCCTGTAGGGGAGGAGGGTTCGGAGATAGAGAGGGACTAGTAGGGCCAGAAAGTAAGGGGTTAAGTTGCCTGTTCCAAAAGTTTGCACTTTATTCTTTAGGAAGCAGGGAAATAAAGGGAGAAAAATTTAACATGCTAATTTGATAACAATTCTTCTTAAGAGGCAAAATACCTTTATGCCTTTAAATAGCATATAAGTCCACAATCTGTTAACCTAAAATGGAAAATAATATTTTAAACCTAAATTCTTGAAATGGCATGAACAATTTGTTTATTAACAATGACTGAGCTGGAACTAATTCTCACAACTATGTTTCATTCCATGGTAAGTGTCCCTTATTCAAAATGCCTGTGAGGCCAGAACTATTTTTGGATTTCAAGGTTTTTTGATTTTAGAATATTTGCATAAACATGAGGTATCTTGGGGTGGGGACATGAGTCTAAATGCAATATTCACTTATGTTACCCTCATATCTACCTTAGAAACATAACCTGAAGGCAATTTTATACAGTATTTTAAGTGCACCTGCAATGACTTGCCATCTATCACAGGACATCAAATGTGAAATTTTCCACTTGTGCTATCACATCCATGCTCAAAAACTTCTGAATTCTGGAGCACTTCAGATGCTGGACTTCTGGATAAGGGATGTTCAGCCTGTACTATGATGACCACTGTTGTGCTACTCTTCGTCATAATAGCATATAAACCATTTATTGAGAGTTTGCTATGTGGCATGCACTGTTGTTTTCCACATATTATTTCACTGAATTCTCACAACACTCTTACATACTATTCACCTACTTTCCAGATCATAAAACTAAGCTAAGACAGCTTATGGCCAGATGGTTAGCGAATGACAGGGCCAAAATTCAAACCTAGCCTGAGTCAAAGTTCTAAAATTCAACCAATCTGCTGAGCTACGTGATATTGTTCAATTCATTTACGTTATTGACTCAAAAATGACTTGTGTGTATCGACTATAATTTAAAGCATCATGCTAGATCAGTGATTTTGAAATTTTACTGCACAGAAGCAGCACCTGAGCAGCTTGTTAAAATGCAGCTTCCTAAACTCTACCAGAGATTCCAATTCACTAAGTCCAGGGTAGGATTCAGGGGTCTCCATTTTTAACCCTAAATTCAGTCAAGTCTGATTCACTCGGTCTATGAATCACACTGAGAGACCCTGTGATATCTGAGTGTCCTATTCTTGACAAACTTACCATATAAAAGGAGTAAGAATGAGGTGAACACACAATACGGGGCAACATAGGAAAAGCAGTAGAGACAAGTCAAGCAAAAAGGACTTCGCAGAAGAGAGGCCATCTGAGATGAACCAGGATGAATGAGATTTCATAAAGGAAGGGAGCACACTTTGTGCAAACACTTGAAGGGAGAATGCTGCACACAGAAGCACGTGTAAGGAGTACAGGCCTCAGCATGAAGAGGACCAGCATTTGGGGATAGAAAGGTAATGTTACGAAATAGGTAGAGAAAGGCTGCAGTTGATCCTGAATGGCAAACTTAATAGTATGGGCTTTAATCACTACTGGCACTGGACAGCAGCTAATTTTTGCGGGGGGAGGTAAATAAAACAATCACAGCAACATTTCTTGAAGAGTTCTTTCATGAAACTACGTGAGACCATCTGGAACTAGAATAACAGACAACGGGTACAGTTAGCCTAGTGACATTCCAATCCCAGAGAAATAAAAGCCTAAAAAGGGAGGAATGGTAAATCTTAATGACTACTTGTTTATAGGGCAAATATAACAATCACAACTAAATGGTTTCTTTACCCTTTAAATCCAAATTGTGCTCTACTACACTTATCACAGCACAGTTCACAGTAGCCAACATATGGAACCAACCAAGCTGTCCATCATTAGATGAATGGGTGAAGAAAATGTAGTATATGTACACAATGGAATACTATTCAGCCATGAAAATATAATGAAACCCTGTCATTTGCAGCAAACTGGATGGAACCAGAAGACACCATGGTAGGTGAAGGAAGTCAGACAGAGAGATAAATATTGTATATGTAGGAGCTAAAAAAATTCAATCTTAACAGAGAATATTGATTTCTAGAGGCTGGAAGGAGTGGGAGGGATAGAAGAGGTTTAGATTAAAAAATAGGGGAAGCTGGGTGTGGTTCATTAATTGTGACAAATGTACTAACATGAGATGTTAACAACAGGGGAAGCTGTGTATAGTTTATGTAACGAATATATCATACTAATAAAAGATGTTAACAGGGGAAGCTGGGTGTGGAGCATATATAGAAACTCTTTGTACTACAGCTTTTGTTTTGTAAACGTAAGACCAGTCTGCAATAAAAAGCTTTTAAAAATGAAAATAAACTATCTCACAATTCGTTTCACATTACTTCTTAGAACTTTTTCTTTATACAGATGACTAAGCCCAAAATATATAGCAAACTTATTTAAACCACAGTCCAGGACCAAGAGATCAGTAAATAGGCCTCTGAGCAGTCAAAATACATGTCACACAGTTCATACACTAAGAAAAGAAAAAGAAAGTAAACATATATTCAGAGGTCACAATCTCATTTTACACAAAATTCTAACGAATCCAAGTATTAGATTTCCAAACCCACAGCAGTTTGGAAGCAAACATTACCAGGAGAAAACAGCCTGGTACAGGTAGACACACGTAAATAGTCTGAGGGTCAAGAGGAGAATTGAAAACTATAAAAAAGCACACATAATCACTCAGGGTAAGTTCTCCACAATTGTTTATTGACAAGCATACATAATTCCCAGAAAAATGAAATTAATGAACATCTTCCTTAATGTTCCAAACACCTACCACAAAGGGAAATCTTCTTTAAACATTCTTTCAAGCTAAATATTCCAAAACAAATAATATTCACCTGAATAAAAGAGGTAATTTTTAAAGGATGGCTGACACAAGACAACACAGCCCCTCTCATCTGTAACCAAGACATAGTCAATAAGTGGTTAAAGGCAAGAAGCACACATTATGTAACACACACAGATTGAAGGTGATAGAATGCTCTCAAACGGCATCCAATCAAGAATGGGAGCCCACTGATGAAGTCCCATTTGGGCAATACTTTCCTGATGACTGTGCCTTTGAATTCTGTGTTCCTAATAATACGAACTCGTCCTACACAAAATGTAACACTATTAAGCTGGTCTTAAATACCTATCCTATACATTTACCTACTGAAATTAGGCAACATCACTTGATACTCAATGTCCTCAAGCAATAGGCTATGTGACAACTTTTCAAAAACACTTTAATATGGCAACACATGGAACCACTTACTAGTCACCAATACTCACTGATATTTTTTAGGAGTTAATGTGATTTTTCTAAGCATATCCCCCATTGTATAAATAGATTAAAACACTGTTTTCATAGAGGAAGTTAAGACCTTAATTTACTTAAAGTTATACTTAGGTTTAGATTATACAGTAAAGCCATGAACCTTCTAACCCCACTGATGTTGCAAAAGGTATGCTATACTGTAATTACTGGAGTAAGAAGACTTTGCAATGTTTTTAAATATCAGAAAAGCAAATCAGTGTATCCTTAGAACACTGGAAGAGTAAAATAAAATTTCCTTAACTATGTTGTAGTGATACAGCAACTAAATGAAACTAGGCCTCTCATATTTCTTAAAGCAAAGGATAGGGAAAATTAAAACACACACACACAATTTTGTCAAATGATCAGGCCACATTAATAGACCACAGATTAAGATTTGGTACTTCAAAAAACATGGGTCAAATGTGCTCTACATTACAAGCACCTAAACAACTGATCAGTCATTGGCACCTGGCTGTCCTGCCCCCTCAAAAAAATCCATCTTCTTAGAATCACCCTTGCCCTCTAAAAGCTTACAATATAAGGATGCTGATGGAAGCCCAAGAAATGTGTCTCAGCAACTGTGTTTTTCAAACTGCAAGTTGTTACCCATAAATCAATGGGGTGAATTTCTGTCATCATTTTTTAATGAAGAGAAAGGAATGTAACAAATTCTCATAATGCATCACAGGGAATAAGGGGTAAATATTGCTCTGTGAAACTTTTCATTCATTCACATGTAGGTGTGTACCAGATCATAATGCAAGACGTACTTCTGTGAGGCCGATTTAAAAAAAAAAAAAAGAAAGAAAAGAAAAATGAGAGCTGTTACCGCAGAGAGCTAATGCCTCAGCACCCACTTCTCTTCCTGCTCAAGATGGAGCCCTGGACACTGACCTAGGAGCTCCAGGGAGCATACAAAGCAGAGCGGACAAGCCCCAGCCAAGCCTGTACTTGGACCTGGAAGTCTTGCCAGCTTCCCCCAGACAGCCCTGGGCGGTGCCTGCAAGTTCTCTGTAGCTTAGCAACCTACAGCGTACAGCTCCTCCCTCCCACACCGGCTGTCAACAGTTCAACTCTTCCAAGCAACTTTCCTCAACTACCACCTCGGAGTCCCAACGGAAGGCAGTGGGCCACCTCGCCCCTTCCCCAACTCCCGGGTCGTCTTCCTGGTTCAGGGCTAGCGCTCTGTACCCCCATTCTCCGCAGAGAGGCTCCACACAGATCCTCCCTACCCCCAGGATCCCAAGGACAGGGCACCCTCCCGCCGGCCCCATCCGACTCCCACCCCGTCCGTTAACTCGGGCAATTCTCAGCACCTCCTTTGATGACCAGCTCCGGGAAGGGGCAGGCCGAGTACCCCAGGCCCCGCGACCGCCCGCTCTTTCCCCCACCAAACCTCCCAGGGGTAGGTTCTTCCTTTTTGGATACAACTTTCCTAGTTGCCCTGCAGCCCCCGACATGTCTCCATCTCCTCTCGGCCACTGGGCGCCGTCCCATCCCGCCGCCTCGGGGTCACGGTGAGAAGCCTAGATTCTCCCAGGAGCTCGGCCAGGCGTCCCTGCAGGGCCCCCTCCAAGCTGGAACCAGCCCCCCTCTCCCAAGCCAGGGCCCTCCCCGCTCCGCCCCGACCCGGCCAGGCCCCGTCCTCCGTCCAGCCCGGGTCAGGCCTCTCAGCCCCGCAGCCGCTGCAGGCAGACCCCCGTCTCGCCCCAACTCCTTCCCCGAGCCTCGTCTCCCGGCGCCCCACAGGAGCGGCCCTCGGTTCCGGAGGGGAGCGCCTCGGGCCTCGACAACCCGGCAGAGCCGGCGGGCCCGGGCTCCACTCACCCCTCAGCCCGGGAGGCGGGGGAGCTGCTGCGGCGGCGCCTCCGGCTGCGCCTCTCCTCCCCCCTCCCGGCCGCCGCCGCCGCCGCCGCTCAGCCTCCGGCCTGGTCCCCAGCCGGCCCTGGCCCGGCTCCTCTTCACCTCGTCCCCCAATCCGGCCGCCGGAGCCCAGTGTCCTGCATTGACCCGGAAGCAGCTCTCTCTGCCCAACAACAACACGTGACCTTGGCGCACGTGTCACGTCGGCTGCGTGGATGGGAGGGGGTGCCGGAGGAGCAGGTCCTCCCCGACCAAGCTGGGGTTGCCATGGCGACAGGGATGCTGCTTGGTCTGGGCCTCCCCAGAAGCTCAGCTCATCTGTCTCTGGTTCCTGCCTGTGCATTGAGGGTTCATCCCCGGTGAGAAACAGGACTAGGGTTGTCACATCGGCATGAAAAGGAGCCAGGTCAGAGCAGGGGCTGGGCAGTTCACAGGAAGGAGCCGGGCAGAACCTCACCAGCCACACTGGAATCCTGGCCTGCTGGGGCCCTGGTGTGCTGGGCCATCCTGATCAAGTCACTTTCTGCCTCACGCTTCAGGGGCCTCCTCCGTACTATGAGAGAGCTGTAGGAAGGGAGGCCTAGGCTGCAGTCTAATGAGCTCTCAGGCTGCTGTACATCAGGATGCTTGCAGTCCACCCTTCACAAGGCCCGTGGCACCCTGAACTGCCCACACCAATGCAGAAACATCAGCTTCTGTCCACTGAGCACCTTCTAGGTACACCCATTCCAGTGCGCTATTTAAAAATGTTACAACTCTGGCTGGCACTGTGGCATAGTGGGTAAAGCCGCTGTCTGCAGTGCCAGCATCCCATATGGGCACCGGTTCGAGTCTTGGCTGCTCCACTTCCGATCCAGCTCTCTACGGTCAGAGAAAGCAGTAGAAGATGGCCCAAGTCCGTGGGCCCCTGCATCCGCGTGGGAGACCTGCAGGAAGCCCCTGGTTCCTGGCTTCAGATTGGCTCAGCTCTGGACGTTGGGGCCACCTGGGGAGTGAGCCAGCAGATGGAAGATCTCTCTCTCTCTGCCTCTGCCTCTGCCTCTCTGTAACTCTACCTTTCAAATAAATAAATAAATTTCTTAAAAAGAAATAAATATATTTACTTATTTAAAAAAATGTTACAACCCTCCCAAAATTGTCATTTTTTACCAGTGAAAACTGAAATTCACCCGGCTATTAAAAGTAAGCCGGCTGAGATTAGAATCCAGGTCAGGCTGGCACCAAGAGCACACACTTCACCCAAGATACCAGGGGCTTGCTCCCACTCCGTGCACATCTTATCTGCCTATTGGCTTGTGATTGCTTATTTATTACTTTGTCCATTTCTTTTCCAGGAGCATACATGGACTACAAATGGTGCTGACTGATCTTAAAGAGGACCCAGCCTTGTGTGGTGAAGACACAGGAAGAATGCAGGCAGAGGTGGATGTGCTTTTGTTGTGTGTGTGTGTCCGGGAGGACATGGGGGCGTGTTTGCACATGTATGAGTTGAGTCCTGGGGTGAGGGATAGGAAATTCTGTAGGAGAGACCTATGGCAGCTGACAGCATCAGGTCCTGGGGACTCATTTTTGTCATTTTGTTTTGCTTGATCTTACCCCATAGTCGGGGCTTAGAGGGGAAAATCTCCAAAAAGAGCTGGTTAAAAATGATGCCCTGAGGAGGAGGGGGAGGAAGAGCCAGGCAGTGGGGGCGAGGTTGCTCAGGTGGGGCCTTTCCTCCTCCCTTTGCAGAGAGCAGCATGATCTCCTGGAACCTTAAGAACTAATAGCTGGGGCCAGCACTGTAGTGCAGCGGGGTAAGCCACAGCTTGCAATGGGTTTGAACCCCAGTACTCTGCTTCCAGTACAGCTCCCTACTAATGCACCTAGGAAAGCAGAAGATGGACCAAGTACTTGGGACCCTGCTACCCACACGGGAGACCCAGATGGAGTTTCTGGCTCCTGGCTTTGGCCTGGCCCAGCCCCAACCATTGCAGCCAGTTGGGGAGTGTACCTGCCATAGATGATTATTTAAATTTAATTTAATTGAAATTAAAATTTCATTTCCTCAGTCACATGACACTAGACACACTTCGAGTGCTTGATTGCCATCTATGGCCCTCACACCAGAATCTGAGTTCAAGGAATACAGTTCTATCATGAAGTTTCAGTCAAACATTTGCATGTCCTTTTAATTCAGCAAATGTTTATTTCATATTGGTTACACCTGTTGTCCTTTAGCTAAGTGGTTGGGGGAAAACAAAGATAAATAAGGCATGGTCGCTTTGAAAAAGTAATGCAAATTTGGAAAAGTAGTACAAATACAGAAATAACTGATACAGGCCAATGAAAGGGATGTTGTTGTTTAAGTGGGATAAGGGAGTCATATTCAGAGCTGAAGACTCTTCGCAAGCAGGCAAACGGATGACAGAATTGTATGAGAATTCAACCTGGGTAACAGTAGTGCTCAGATGGGAGTAGTAGGCAAGAGAAAAGCAGCTTGTTTGCTTAAAAAAATAATGTCTGGTTTGGAAATTAGGTCTTTGATACCAGTCCTGCTTTGTCCACTAACCAACTGTGTCTCGTGAACTCCTTCTGCCTTAGACTATTAACTACCAACTAACCTGGATTAAATAAACTACTGTAATGAATCACCCCAAATCACGTGTAACATATTGTATATACTACACTGTGTGTTATGTACCTGGGCATTTCAAGGGGAAGTACCATAGATTCCTTCAGATTCAAAAAGAAATCCCAATTCAAAAAATGTAGGGTGCATGATCCCTTTAAATTCTGTAAGTTTCATGTTCCATATATTATTTGTATTGACTTTATTGATATATTTGTCAGGAAATACACTGTTGTGCCAAGCTTAGTGACCAAGCAAAGAGCAGAGATTTCTAAATTTATTTTAAACTGGAGAGTCATACTTAGAACTATTTAGAAAGTGTCACAATTTCCTTACTGGGCAGAATATGGTCTTTAAAAAAAAAAAAAAAAACTCTTAATTTGCTTTGCTGCAATTTCCATAGATGAATCAGTCACCAGAAGCTTGATTTTCAAGGAAGACGTACAGTTATTAAAATCATCTGCAAAACATTGCTAGAAGCCTCACAACCTCTTTTAATTCTTACAGGATGAGAAATGGCGCACATAAAGAAAGCGCGCATGATGTTCACACATGTACAGCTTAATGGATTATCACAAACACTCTGGCCACCACCACCCATTCAAGGCACACAACACTGCAAGCTGCCCAGAGCTTCCCTCTGGTTCTTATACCCACCATTCTCTCCAAAGTTAACTATTATTTGTCTTCTACTGTTGTAGCTATTTCCCCCTGTTTTTAAGCCTACTGTAACTGGAATCAAATGCATGTAACTGTAAATTATTCATTCTTGATACTAAATATTATTTCATACCACAACTTATTTATTCATTTCTCCATTGGCAAACACTTGGGTTGTTTCCAGTTTGGGGCTATTATACGTAACACTACTCTGAGTATCTTTGTGCTTGACTTTTAGTGCCTTTGTGTATACAAACACACATTTCTGTTGGGAACATAACCAAGAGTAAAGTTGGTAGCTCATTGCATAAGATCAGCACTGTTCAGTAAAAATACAGTGCTACTCAAAGTCAAATATGCAATTTAAATTTTTCTAGTGGCCATATTTTAAAAGAAAAAATTGCTTACAGTAATTTAGACTGGCAACGTTCCAGGTAATCGATTAAAAAAAGTGATTACAACTTACCATATTGGATAGCCCAACTGTAGATAATACGACAAAACACAGTAGCTATGCCAATTCACATCCTTGGAAGCAGTGGTTCCACATCTTCACCAACACTGGTACTATATTAGTCTATTTAATCTTTGCCATTTTAATGGTGACTGTGTAGTAATGTCTTGTTTTAATTTGCATTTCCTTCATAAGGTTGAATATCTTTTCTATTTGTTGGCCAATCTATATTCTCTTTTATGAGGAGGCCAGGCACATTTTTATATTTAATTTTTATTTGAAAAGCAGTTACAGAGAGAGACAGAGAGGGAGAGACAGAGAGAGAGAGAGGGAGAGACAGAGAGAGAGAGAGAGAGAGAGGGAGAGAGAGAGAGACATCTTCCATCTACTGTTTCACTCCCCAAATTGCTGCAACAGCCAGGGCTGGAGCTGCACCAGGCCAAAGCCAGGAGCCCAGAGCTTCTTCCAGGTCTCCCACATGGGTTTAGGGACCCAAGCACTTGGGCCCTCTTTCACTGCCTTCCCAGGCATGTTAGCCAGGAGCTGCATAGGAAGTAGAGTAGCCGGGGCTCGAACCCACACCTGTTATGGGACACTGGTATCCAGGCGACAGTTTAACCTGCTAAGCCTAAACATTGGTCCCGAGACTAGGCACTTTTTTTCTGTTGAGTTGGTCTATCTTTCTCTTATTGGTCTCATTGAAATTAGTTGAAAAGCATTCTCTCCCTCTCTCTTTTTCCACTCTTTGCAAAAATTCTCTGTAAAATTATTCTCCGTATAACATTGGCATTGTTTATTCCCTAAATGATTGTTAGATTTCCCCAATGAAGCCATTTTGACACAGTTTTCTAAATGGGAAAGTTTTAATGATGGATAATTATAGATTCAATGTATTTTTATTTTTTTAAAGATTTATTTATTTATTTGAAAGGCAGAATTATAGAGAGGCAGAACAGAGAGAGAAAGATCTTCCATCCACTGCTGCAATGTTCAGAGCTGGGCCGATCTGAAGCCAGGAGTCAGGCACTTCTTCCAGGTCTCCCACATGGGTGCAGGCTCCCAAGGACTTGGGCCATCTTCTAGTACTTCCCCAGGCCACAGCAGAGAGCTGGATCAGAAATGGAACAGCTGGGACTAGAACCGGAGCCCATATGGGATGTCGGCACTGCAGGCAGTGCCTTTACCCACTATGCCACAGCGCCGGCTACTCAAGGTATTTTATAATTATACCACTACTCAAGTTTTCCTATTTCATCTGTTTTTGTTTTAGTAAGTTGTATTTTTCTAGTTATTTCTCCCATCTAAATTTTCAAATTTATTGGCATAAAATTATTCATGATGCCATAGTTCTTTGTCATATCTGAGGGATCTACAATGATTTCTCATTTTTATTCTACATATTGATTTGTGACCTGACCTTTTCTCTTGGCTAGTCTCATCAATAGAGCTTCTCAAAGAAGCTCTCTGTGTGTTTTCCCTGCTTTATTAATTTCTGCTTTTATCCTTATTATTTCCTTTCTTCCTTCATATTTGGTATAATTTACTTTTTTCTTCTTTTTTATTTTAAGATTTATTTATTTATTTATTTGAAAGGCAGAGTTACAGAGAGGCAGAGGCAGGGCTAGGAGTGGGGAGGTCTTTCATCCGCTGATTCACTCCCCATATGGCTGCAACAGCCAGAGTTGTGCCCATCCAAAGCCAGGAACCAGGAGCTTCTTCTAGGTCTCCCAAGGACTTGGGCCATCTTTTACTGCTTTCCCAGACCATAGCAGAGAGCCGAATCAGAAATGGAACAGCCAAGACTAGAACCAGTGCACATACGGGATACTGACACTGCAGGCGGCGGCTTTACCAGCTACGCCACAGCGCTGGCCCCCATCTTCTTTTCCAAAAGATGCCTAGAAAACCAGAAACTTCTCTCATTGTACAGTGTTAATTTTGTGCCACAGTTCTGACATGTAACATTTTCATTATCGTTCAGTTTTAAATATTTTCTTTAGCTTGTTGATGTGATGTTTACATTAATTGATTTTTAAATGTTGAACCAGCCTTGTCTACTTGGGGGATCGTGGTATATAGTTCTTTATGTATATCGTTGGATTTGATTTGCTGTTGAGAATGCTTTGCATCTATGTTTATGAGACATTGCTCCATAGCTTTCTTGTAACGTCTTTGTCTGGTTTGCTGTTATGATAGTGATGATCTCACAGAATGAGCTAGGAAGCATCCCCCTACTTCTGTTCCCTGGGAAGACTATAGATAATTGATGTTATTTATTCATTAAGTATTTCAAGGATTCACGGATAAACCCATCTGAAGCACACGGTTCCTGCTTTGAAAGCTGATTTTTGGTTGTTTCTTTTTTCCTTTTTTTTTTTTTTTTTGACAGGCAGTGGACAGTGAGAGAGAGAGAGACAGAGAGAAAGGTCTTCCTTTGCCGTTGGTTCACCCTCCAATGGCCGCCGCGGCCGGCGCACCGCGCTGATCCGATGGCAGGAGCCAGGAGCCAGGTGCTTTTCCTGGTCTCCCATGGGGTGCAGGGCCCAAGCACCTGGGCCATCCTCCACTGCACTCCCTGGCCACAGCAGAGGGCTGGCCTGGAAGAGGGGCAACCAGGACAGAATCCGGCGCCCCGACCGAGACTAGAACCCGGTGTGCCGGCGCCGCTAGGCGGAGGATTAGCCTACTGAGCCGCGGCGCCGGCCTGGTTGTTTCTTTAATAGATACAGTCCTATTGAGATCACCTGTTTGTCCTTGTGTGAATTTTGACAGATAACGTCTTTCAAGAAATTAGTCCACTTCATTGAGGTTATTAAATCTGTGGGGGCATGAGTTGTTTATAATAGTGCTTTTTTATTATTATTTTCATGTTTGTGGGATTTGTAGTGATGTTTTCTTGTTTCCTGTCTCATTTCTGATTAAGTAATTTATATCTTCTCTATTTTTTTTTCTTAGTTAATCTAACGGAATATTTGTCAATTTTATCTTGTCAGTGAACCAGCTTTTGTTTTCATTGATTTTTCTCTATGGATTTCCTATTTCAGATTTCATTGCTTTTCTTTGCTCTAGTTTTTTACTCTCTTTTTCTTAATTTAGGTTTAATTTGCTCTCCTTTTTCTAATTTCTGAAGATAAAAGCTTAGATAATTATTTTTAGGCCTTTCTTCTTTTTCTAATATATGCATTCATGCTGTAAGTTTTCCTCTAAACCCTGCTTTTACTGAATCCCAGGAATTTTGACCTGCATTATCATTTTCTTTTGATTCAAAATATTTTCTGCTTCCACTTGTGATTTTCTCTTTGACCCATGGGTTATTTAGAAGTGTAGTGAATTGTATACTTTTATACTGCCTCAGCATCCATTTTAAATACATTTAGTGTTCTCATTCCAGAAGCAGGGTTTAGTCACCTTTGACAAAATGTCCTGTTCCTCAGCCCCTTGCAGTTCCTCAAGGTTATCTGCCTTATACAGCTACCTCCCGATGGCCACCCCTCCATGGGACAGTTAGATCCAGTGGACCCGATGCACCCTACTGACCCCCAAAGCCAGCACGGACTGTAGAGATATGCCCCAGTGACCCCATCTCAGTCACAATGCAACCTCATAGAACCCATGCCAGCTTGCCTTAAATCCACCAATCCGAACTCCCCATGGGTAACCTGCTTGGGTAATGCCCCGCACCCCAGTAAAAAGGCTTTGGCCCACAAGTGTCTCTCTGTCTCTCTTGCTCTTCATCTGCGGGTTGAGCACACCTACTCCAAAGGGCTGTCTCTTCCTACTTGCCCTGCAAGGCTTACTGCCCTCTTTCCTTTGGGATCTGAGAGTAATCCATGGTTCTGTTATCTCAGGCATGTGATTGCGCTGCTTCCTCTGTGTCTCACGGAACTGACAGAGCTCTTGGAGAGAGGGGTTCTCTCGACAGAAATAAACCAGACACAGGTCGGACAAGAACCACAAGGGTTGCCTGCACCACGGCTCACTAGGCTAATCCTCTGCCTGCAGCGCTGGCACCCCGGGTTCTAGTCCCAGTTGCTCCTCTTCTAGTCCAGCTCTCTGCTGTGGCCCGGGAAGGTAGTGGAGGATGGCCCAGGTCCTGCATGGGAGACCAGGAGAAGCACCTGGCTCCTGGCTTCGGATCAGGCCGTGGCGCCTGGCGTATCGGCATTTGGCGGGGTGAACAAACAGAAAAGGAAGACCTTTTCTCTGTCTCTCTTCTCTGTCTCTACTCTCCTGTCCTTCTATATCAACAAAAAAAAAAAGAATCACAAGAGTGTCTGCCAGTGTAAACACATTTCCTAGGAGAGGGACACCTGGTCACAAATTAGATACTTAGGCCTTAGGCTACAGGTTGCACACTTAGACATTAACCATCCACCAGGATAA